AAAAAATCTAAAAAATCAAAAAAAAAAAAATCACCAAAGATTGAAAAAGCAATAATAATAATTTTCATATGGTTTTTTTGAAAAAATTATGAATCCTATTTTTTGAAAAAAAAAACTAAATATAAAAACACAAAAAAATAAATAATAATCAGTATAATGCCCCTAAATTATCTGTTAGCCGACCCCATTTGATGGGACTTAAGACTTGGTTTGGTTAGTTGGTATGTTTGGTTTGAGTTTTTTGAATTTAGTTTTTTGAATTTTTTTGTTTTTCGTGTTTTTTTTTTATTTTTAGTAAATATTTTTTAAATTTTAAGCTTTTTTTTTACTTTTTTAGATGTACTTTATTTAGATGTATCTAAAAAGTAAAATATTTGTGAAAAAATATTTCAAAAAATTAATAAATACACAAAAATACGAAAAATATATTAAATTTTTTTTTTGTATTTTTTGAATTTAGTGAATTTTTTAAATATTTTGTTCACGAAAATTATACTTTTTAAGTGTATTTATGTTAGGTGTCTAAAATTTTAAAAAATTACTGAAAATATTAAAAAAATTTAACAAAAACAAAAAAAAATATAAAAAATAAGAGGATAGAATTTTTTGAAAGTGCTTTTAGAAAACTCATACCAAAAATTGTGGAGATGCTTTCTCGTAAGGAGTAATATTTAGAAAAAACAATTCCTACTTTTCTGTTTTTGTTTTTCAAGATAGGGAATTCCTAGCATAGTTTGGGAAGTTGGTTTTGGTGGGTGAAGGGCTAAAATAGTCACAAAAAATAAAACATCAAATTCAACACATAATCGTTACACTCATCTCTCATAAAAAAAGTCAAAAAACTAAAAAATCCTTCCCAAATCAGGCTTTTTAGTCTCAGGCTAAAAAAACCAAAAAATCAACCCACTTCCCAAACGGAGGTTAAAGTAGGTAATGAGTAGGAACGTAAGAAAAGTTTATCAAATAGGGTATATTTGGTTATTTTTTAATATAAATCAATCTATGTAATTTTTAAAGTTAATTTTTTTTCCCGGTTATGTAGCAGTTTAAGTACTTCGTATATCAAATTAAACCAAAATTAGTCAAAAATTTCACATATTAAATATGTAATGAAGTTGGTTGAGTACAAAATTCAATTGATTCACTTAATTGTTTATTTTTTCTTAAATATTTCAACTTTGACAATAAATATTGGCAATACAATAAATTGTTAGTTTGCCACTCATATGTGCTTGTGTCAAATTTTGCTACTATTATTGTAATAACTCGAAAATTTAAATTGTCTTTTAAATTTTAAATTTGTATTATTTAATTATAAATTAGAAAAATCTTAAATATTTCGTAAGAATAAAATAAAATAAAGTCTAATTTATTTACATCAAGGTCATTGTAAAAAAAAAAAGAAAAAAAAAAGAAAAAAAGAAAAAAAAAAAGACTAATAACGCAATTAAACTTATCCATTTGAGGGATAAGCTTAGAGCATACTGATGGCAAGGCCACGTGGTGTGGCTACTCGTCCCAAAACTTGCTGAGCAAGTACTGCTCCATGGTATAAAATGAGAAGGGGTGCTTTGAAGAGAACAAGGGAAACAAACTATGAAAGGGAAAAAAAATATTGAAAATCAAGAAAGTCTTGAACAGTGAAAAGAAAAAGTGAAGTATTAATTTTAAAGTGAGTTATATTATATCTTAAGTCACTATAATATATTTGATGTATGTTTTGAGTTACCATAATATATTTTATATATATTTTGAGTTACCATAATTTATTTTACGCAATTTGTGTTTTATAAATTATATTAGCATTTTTAATTCATGAATCCTATTTGATATAATAAGAAAAATCCATAGATATAACTGTTTATTAAAATGTGTTTTGAGTCATTATTTTATAAGTATCAACACGAAAGTCTCATGTTTTGGAGAACTTAAATAACCATTGGCCATCTGATTAGTTACTCTATGACCCTTTGTCTGTTATGAATCCACTGACCCTCTAAATTATGGTGTGGAGCAAAGTGTTGTACAGAACAGTGCTACACTATTGTGTAAGCCACCTCTAGAGTTCGTACAAGTCACCTCTTAAGTTCGTACAAGCCACCTCTTTTTGTTTATACATCTGTTCTGTTCCGTTTTATACCGTGGTTATAATTTTATATGATTTCTATATATATGCCAAATGATTTCTATGGTAATTATGCTTTCAGTATAATATTTTAAGCCCAATAATTATCCATGATGATTTTATACCCTCATGCTCTCAGTATAATATTTTTCACTCTGTCATGTGCTTATAACTATTTACCAATTTTCAGAAAATAATTCAAAAATAGCTTTTGGAGAGTCTTAGACGCGGACTTGCGGAATAGACACGCAACACTTTTATAGTATTTGTAATTCTATTCTTCATATGTAAATATCAACCTTTTTGGTCAATAAATTTTGTTATAAAAATAGGAGCTCCAATAATCATTTTGGCACCCTCACTTAAATATTTTTCCACTCGCGTTTAGTAATTTGTTTAAAAATTGACCAGAGGTAACTTCAGTTACTGGCTATCACGATACTTAACCCTTAAGTACGAGGAGCAAGTCGTGGCAATTATGTCTATGTAGCTATATCAGATGTTTATGTCATTTTTAATTTTTTTATTTCAACTCTACTTGATAGACTTGTGATTTTATCTTTTGGGAGGATAGTTTTAAATTTTAGTTTTTCTTCGGAGCTAAGATTTTGGTTTTCATATTATATTTTGTTTTTAATTCTACTTCGGTAAAAACTTAAACACTAGTATTGCTTAATTATTTTGTTTGTATTTTTGTAAATGATTATATTGGATATTGAAATAATATACAAATGACTAATTTAATATTTATATATAAATTATTTAATATACTAAAAATTTGAGAAGTAATTCAAATTTGAAAGATCGTAAACCAAAAATTGCTCCGAATCAAACCATTTGAATTGATGCGATTTGGTGCAGTTTAATAAAAAAATTGATTTATATTGATTCTCAATATAATAAAACCGTCATTATAAATTCGGTGTAAAATTTTACCTAAATACCAACGGTTCTAAATCAATTACATTCTTAATAATGAAGAATCAATTTAAATTCACATTCCCATTGTCCATAAATTTTGTCATTCAAATTAAATTTTTAAGAAAAATAATTGATTTATATGATTAATGTGTGTGGATCCCTATGAAGCCAAGGAAATAATACATTTGAGACATTTCACAGAATAGAACGAACAACAGCCGTGAGGAACAGATCATCAGAGCCAGCCGTGAGGGACCTTGTCCAGATTCCAGACCCCATCATTTCCAACCGTTACACAGTCTAATCCAATTCTCTCCAACAATACATATACATATGTCCATATCTAACACACAAGCCCAGCTGGACACCTAAAAAAATATATAATATAAATATTAAATACAATGATAATATTATTTTATATAATTTTAGATTGATGAATATAAACAAAAAAATAAAAATAATAATTAATACAGAATTTTCGTGCAGAATAATGACCGATGCAACCCAAGCCAATATTTTTGGGTTGGCCTAAAATTAAATTAAAATTTTGAGTCCATTTATTTTTTGGAGTTATGCTTGGAATGATAAATTATAATTATATTAATTTTATATTTTATACTAGTTAGTTAAATTCAAATAATTATTAAAAGAATCCAATTCATTTAATAACCCTTTAAAACAGAATAAAATTAATAAGGATTCATATATATTGAGTTAAATTGACAAACTTGTGATTTGCTACTTTTTTTAGAGTTGGGCATAATGGTCGGTTTGAGCTTGAAATAGCATATAGACTTTTTATGAAATATTTCAAACATAGCTTTTATTTCTTTAATAACTTTTTAATTTTCAAATAAAGCATTCATAAATTATTATCAATATTATTTTATTTCTTTATTGTGTTCTAAAGACATTTATTAATAACACAATTAATAAATACTAACAAGTATACTAAAAAAAATATTTTTTATTATTTTATACAATTTTTTTCGTATTACAGCAGATATAAAAAAAAAATAAATAAATAAAAAACCGAAGCAATTGATGAGTAAAATTTGTCTTAAAAACAAAAAGAAGAAGAGAAAGTAGCCAGTGTGTTGATTTTGCATAGAAACGAGCCCCTACCCTATATAGACACGTGTTAAGCAAACAAAAAACCAACACAGTCTCTCCGTACAACCTGGCAAAACTGTTGGCCTTCTTTTTTTTTACGCCTATTTTGACAATTTAATTAAAAATTAAAAAATTATTCACTATATTTGTTTTGAGTTTTTTGAATTAAATTTTTAAAAAATTAATTTTTTATTTTTAGTGAATATTTTTAAATTTTAATTTTTTTTTATTTTTTTAGATGCATCTTACTTAGATGTATCTAAAAAGTAAAAAATTTATGAAAAAATATTTTAAAAAATTAATAAATACATAAAAATATAAAAAATATACTGAATTCTTATATTTTGTTTGTATTTTTGGTATTTAGTAAATTTTTAAAAGATTTTTTTTACATTTTTTTTACTTTTTAGGTGTATTTATGTTAGGTGTGTCTAAAAAGTAAAAAAATTATTTAAAATATTAAAAAAATTCAGTAAAAACAAAAAAAAATATGAAAAATAAGAAAATAAATTTTTTGAAAAGTGTTTTGAAAACTGAAAACCAAGCAAAATAATTATTTTTTATTTTTTTAAATCACATTATTTCTTTATTTTTTTACAATTTTTTTTAAAAAAAATTAAATTTTAACATACTTACCAAAATAAGAACATACAAACATATTTTTACATACTCACACGTGCCATCTCCTTTTCAACGCCGGAAATACCTCCTTTCTATATCTCCGTTCCAAAACCTCAACACACACAAAAAAAAAAAAAAAAAAAAAACACAAAAACACAAACCAAAAAAAAACACCCACACCCACAGGGGGATTTTTCTTCTCTACTCTACTGCAATATATATATACATGGATATGTAGCCTAAGACATTTGTGTTTGCTGATATAGGCATATATAAATATAATATATATATATATTGATCGGAGATGGGGGCGGTGACGTCGTCAATGGCGGCGAAGTTCGCGTTCTTTCCGCCGAATCCGCCGTCGTACACGGTGGTGGTGGACGAATCCACCGGCAAAATGAGGATCACCGACGTCTCCGAGAGGGAAAACGTCGACGTTTTGAAGCTGGCCACCAAGAGGGGTACTGAGATTGTGGCGGTGTATATGAAGAATCCGGCGGCGGAGTCTACGGTGCTCTACTCCCACGGCAACGCCGCTGATCTAGGTCAGATGTATGAACTGTTCAGCGTACTCAGTATTCATCTCCGAGTCAACTTGATGGGGTGAGTCACTCACTACTGTAGAATACACACAATCTTTATACCCTTTGAAGTTTTAGAGTAAAAAGCTTCAGTCTTTGTACAGTAGTGGTTCAGAATTGGGATATATGTCTGATTTAATTTGATCGGTTCAGATTTCAGATTTACAATTTTTTTTTAAAAATAAATAAATAAATTCAGTCAAAGTTGTTTTAGATTGCGATGTATTGGATTGACAATTATGTCAAAACTGTTTTTGTAATCTAAATACTATAGAAAAAGATGAAAATGACAGAAAAAAGCTTGATTGGTAGTCCTTTTCCTAACTTCTATTTTTTTCACCATTTTTTTGAAAGTGACTTTTTCTTTAACTTTCAAATCCAAATCTTGGTATCTGAATGATGTGAAGTGGTCACTAGTGCGTCTTGTTTAAAATTTCTTTGTTGCCAATCAAAATAAAAGAAAATAAAAATTTGAGATTTGAAGTGCTCTATAACAACTTTAAATTTCCTATCCTTTGCAGATATGATTATTCAGGGTATGGACAGTCCACTGGCAAGGTAAGACATGTATTTGCAGATTAATTGGGGGGAGTTTTAGATCTATGTGGTATGTTTTAAGCACTCAATTATGTTTTATTGCTGCTTTTGATAGCCAAGTGAGCAGAACACTTACGCAGACATAGAAGCTGCATATAGATGCCTTGAAGAGACTTATGGGGTTAAGGAGGAGGATGTCATATTATACGGGCAATCCGTTGGGAGTGGACCCACTTTAGATTTGGCATCCCGTTTACCAAGATTGAAGGCTGTGGCTCTTCACAGTCCAATCTTGTCAGGCCTTCGAGTCATGTATCCAGTGAAGCGAACATACTGGTTTGACATATATAAGGTTTTGTTTTCTATTAATGCATAATGATGTAACCTGAGCTTTAATAGGTTTTGATGGTATGAGATTACTGAGTAACTGCTTCTTTACGGTGCAGAATATTGATAAAATACCATTGGTGGGCTGTCCTGTTTTAGTAATTCATGTGAGTATTCCAAATTTTTATTATGTGTTTTTAGAGATAATGGTATTATCAGATTTTGATTGCTACTGTAATATATACATATATATATTTTGGATAAATACTGTAATATAGTTTGATGATGTAATTGGATGGATAATGAGGCAACTTTCAAAAACTATTCAACCATACACTAAATTGCTCTTCATTGCAGCTGTTTGGACTTTATTGTTTACCTCATTGTTGTCTGGAATTCAGCCCTTTTTTTTTTTTTCAAGATGTGTTGATTTAATTATTCTAGCTATAATGATTTTTTTTTTTTTTGGACTATTGTTTCCTTCTTGTGTTGTTCGTATATCCAATCACTCATTGATCCAGCTGTCTTATTTTTTTTCCATTCCAACTGTCAACTGATTAATATTGTTGAAGCCTGCATATAGCCACTAGCCAAGGTTCTGAAAAGCGGTTGCGGTCGCCGTAACGGTGGCGGTGGCGCGGTTGCGGTTGCGGTTGCGGGGTGTAAAGGCCGTAGCGTAACGGTTACGGTAACCGGAACCATGAATTTTTTTATTTTTTGCACAATTTGAAAAAAATTTACCGATACGCACATTTTTTTTCCATAATCATATTTATTGGGTTTTAAAATAAATATTGATCAATTTTTATAAATTTTTAAGTTTGATCCAATATATTTCATATTTTTAAATCACTATAAACTGAGTTTTTTACATTTTATTTTAATAATTAATGACTTTATATTATACAAAAAATCAATCACTACCTATTAAATATAAGATAAACAATGACAAAAGTAAGAGAATAAATAAAAGCCTAAATATATATATATATATATATTAATCAAGTCAAATAGATAATGACCACACTTATTATTATTATTATTATTATTATTATTATTATTATTTTCAAACAATATATAGATAGACACACACAAACAAAATGGCTGAGTGATAGCAACTGAATAGAATAGTATAGGTCTTACAGTTTTAACAAATCAATAACATGTTTTTCATCTTCCCTCTTCTCTCTCTCTATCTCTTGTTCCTCCATCTTCCCTCTTCATCTTCCCTCTTCTCTCTCTCTCTTTCCCCATTTTCAACTCTTTTTCTTTGTGTTTTTTTTTTCAAAAGAAGCAATTCGGAACCGTTACGTAACGGTGCGTAACAGGTTGTTACGGCCATTACGGCACCGTTACGACCGCTATAGCAACCGCTACGGCCAATACACTTGGGAATCTCAATCACACTGCAAAAGCGGCCGTAACGGGTGGCGGTAACTACCACAACCGTTACGTAACGGGTTGCGGCCGCTTTTTAAAACCTTGCCGCTAGCTGGTTGCCATCAGTACTTAATTGACTTTAGTGAATGTTCAAAGCTAGGAAGCACAGGTGCAGGTGTGGATATGTTCCCCATACACCGACACAACAAAACCCAAAAAAAGAGGATATGAGTACAGCCGGGGTATGCCCAAAAAATATATATTATAATTTGTAGTAGTGCATAATATATAACAATTAGAATATCAAATGCAAAAAATAATTAAAGTAATAATTAGAAAAAACAGAGGAAAACAAACAGAGAGGGTGGAAAAAACAAAGATGAAGATGGGTACTCCGAGAGAGAGAGAGAGAGAGGGTTGTTGGAAAAAACAGAGAAGAAGATGAAGAGAGGGAGAGTCGGAGAGAAGCAGAAGCCAGAAAGAACCCCAAGTACTTTTAAATATTTTGCAAATGCACTTTTTTAAGATTTAAAAGTAGACATAATATAGTTGTTCCAGTACTCCTATGTTTTTCAAAAATTACATTTATGCTTCGACATGCCCACAAAAGTATCTGAAATGTATTCACCCCGTATCCGAAATGCACCCATTCCGTACTTAACATTCAAAAAGTACAGGATATGTATTTTGCACATGCAGTATGCATATTCATGTCAGGTAAGTACTCAGTACTAATGTGGTAATATTTTCGGAGTATCCATACTTCATAGGTTCAAATTCAGTGCACAAATGACCTAGGTAAATTATATAGCTACGAGCTGGAACAAAAGCAAAATGAGCACAAAGCGAACATACAGAAAATCCTGCTTCAGCAATATGGGGATATATCTCTGGCAAATTCATCAGAAAGGATTTCCCATAATCAATGAGAATGGATAGTACAGGGAAGAGGTACATCTCTCTAAATGTTCAAACCCCACAAAATAGCATACCTAGAATTCAATCAGAACCCATATGACCCCGGCTAGACCAATTTTATGCAGCACACAGAGCACCCTCTTGGTTGATTCAGATATAGCCATCAACCCACAAGAGGAACACTCTTTGAAAACTTATCCTATGTAGAAGGTCTAGATTTTTATCATTTTGTCCTCTTCCATCTTGATCCTCTTAGTTCTAAGGTTAATCAAAACCATGCTTTGAATTGTGGAAATATTAAGTTATGGAGAGTCAAGAGTTGTCACCAAACACTGCACATTGTTTTGTACAGCTGGGTTTACTTGTTTGAAGCAATCACTTGATGTCAGCTAAGTATGAGATAATCAGTGCTCGCTCTACATTTGCCTCTTTACATTTTACTAATAGATCTTTCTCAAAGTCACTACACTGTGCATGTTATCAGGTATTGCTTTTTAGTATTTTCTACGCTTCGCCAATAAATGTAGCTGTATGCATTATGCGTTAAAATAGCAGTAAAGATTAAGGACCATAACCAAGGAAAATATATGAAGTATATGAGTAGGAGGGGAACGAGATTTGGCAAAAAAAAATTGCAGCAAGTACTGATCACCTGCCTTTAGTGAAATGTTCATACCTTCATCTATTAAATTAGAAAAATAATAGGATATAAATGGATTCTTAATATAAATTTAGTTTATTCCTTTGATTAACAGAGTATGTGCATTGTGCAACATCCCAGCATTAAAGTCATAACTTTTCATTCATTCAATTCAATAATAAATATGCAGTCCGTGTCTTGTTGACTTGGGCACACATGTATGGTGCATGTGCTTTCTTTCTTAGCTGTCAGATTTATGTACCATTACATTTTACACGAGTGAAAATGGCTGTGTTATTATCGCAATGATGGATCTGTCTTCATCTTTGCCTTTAGGCACATTTAATTTTCTGCACAAACCTGCTTGTTGGTCATTTTGAGTTGTCCAATGTGTAATATAGGGGGAAAATTAAAGTTAATCCTATGAAACTTTCCTGTGCCTCTCACGTTTTTGTTGTGCCCTGTTGGACAATCATGTTGGAATAGCAACCACCAGTTGTGTTGTCATTCTGTGCCCATACCTAGACCTATTAACCGTGCAGCATCATGGACAACATGATTGGTTCAAATCTCACACATAAGATATATCTATAGACAACATTTTATTGCACAAATTCATCAAAGCACTTGTTTTTTTTATATTTGTAGATTATGTTACCCATTGATTTGGAGGTGGTTGTCTAGGCTTTAACTCCAACTTTTAAGTTCCAGATTTTGAAGTTTCACCTTTGTTTGGAAAGTCTCATGTGGTTTTGAGGTAGTGAAGTTCAAAAAATTGGTTAGTTAATAGGCCATAAGAGTCTTCTATTGGTAACCCCAAGGGTTGGCCCAGTGGTAAAGACTTGAGGATAAGATCCAAGGTCTCAAGTTCGAGTCACTCAAGGGGCCACTAGAGGACCACTGAGTTCAGGGTCCTAGGATTAGTTGAGGTTCTTTACTTAGAAAATGCATTAAATTATATGTTTTGTCTTGTTTGTTATTAGATATTGTCCACTGTGTTCTTTTTGTTTGCAAATAAATTTGAGATTTTTCTAACATGCATGATAATGTGGGTAGGCCAAAGATATCATTGCAGTCTATTGCAATAATGAATATTAATGTGCATCAATTTTATGCATATTTGAACTTGCACTGAATCATCTTTGAAGGAACATATATGTACTAGGTCGTAAGGCAAAAAAGAGATATAGCCACTGCACTAGTTTGTTACTTTGCATTTTGCCACAAACAGAAAGTGCAAGTACATGCTTATGTTGACATGTTTTTTCACTCTGTTTTTGTCTGTTGGTGCTTGCAGGGAACTGCAGATGATGTTGTGGATTGCTCCCATGGTAAGCAGCTTTGGGAGCTCTGTAAAGAAAAATATGAACCACTATGGATTAAAGGAGGAAATCATTGTGACTTGGAGATCTATCCGGAGTACATACAGCATCTAAAGAAGTTTGTTTCAGCCGTTGGGAAATTATCACATTTGAGAAATAGTTCTGGATTGAATACAGATCAATCCGAGAATCCCAGAAGCAGCACAGATTGTCGAGACAAACCTAGATCGAGTACAGATCAGAGGGAGAGGTCTAGACTAAGTAGTGATCAGAGAGAGAAATCAAGATCAAGCACAGACCATAGAGAGAAATCAAGAGCCAGCATTGACAGGAGGGAAAAGAGAGAAGAAGGTCGAGCATCCTGAGAAAGCAAATAACAGCACAGACCAGCCAGAGAAAGCAAGGAACAGCATTGATCGGTTGGGTTAAACTCAGACAGTCTAAGACTTGTCTTTTCATTTTATCCTTTTTGTTTAAAGAATACAAAATTAGTTTTCTTGACTGTTGGAATTGAATGGTGGCAGCTTTGGAGATATGATGAGGTCAGTCGGATTGTGCAATATCGATTGTTTCAAGCCTACAGGAGCTGCTGGGATCTGAGGATAGGAAGAAAGGTCAGTCCAAAAGTCGATTCCATCTGGATTTGTCCCTTTTTTTTTTTTTTAATTAGTCCATTGGTTTTATTGGGTTATAGGAAAATGTCTATTTTTGAATTTCATGTTTCAGATAAACAATAAAAAGTTAATTTATCTAGATTATGTATCTTCTAACTTTTCTCTCAATTGGAAGAAATGGATCCATGTAACAACCCCATTTAAGTGGGGACAAAAGCTTATTGAATTGAGCTGAATTGCATGGAGTATAAATCTCTCCCTTGGTTGTTAGATTGGCTGTTTCATTTTGAAACTGTTTACCTTTTGTTGTGAGTCAGTTTTGTTTTGACCGTTTTGCAACAGGAGAAAAGTATTATTGGAGTCCTGCATGCATGCTTTTGCAGGTTGCAGAGGTATAGAGACAAGTGTGCAGATAAATATTTTTGGTTCCCTGTTTTAATTTAAGTGCTAGAAATATTTTAATGCTAGGTTGTAGTATGTATACACCAATGCATCTATCTATGCACATTTCGGACTTGTGCTCCTTTGGTTCCTTCTGGAGTATGCTGAACATCAAATTAGGTAATCTAAAGTGGCTTTGCTGATGATGGAAATGGTATTGAGAAATTTGTTTTCACCATTTTTTAAAAATATATTTTGACCAATGATTTTTCTTTCAGAACATCTTTAGGTGCTATTGCCAGGATGAAATTGTATCTTATGAAATATTCTTGATCTCTTAGAATTTTAGTTATGATGTAAAATCATGTTAATGGATAGGAAAGTTATGTTTTAGCCTGGTAAATGCATCAATCTGGTAAGGATGATCAAGAACTAAGCCTCTTTCAAGTACGATTTGCATCCTAGAAGGGGTTGTGATGAAATAGGATTCCAAATTGTAAGCTGGAATAGTTAGATGTCTCAGATTCAGCATGTCAATGCAAAATGCCAATTGGTAAATATTAACAGCCAGGACTGTGTACTTGCAGATATCAGTTTGTTCATATCTTGGATTCAGATGTTAACATGTAATGATACCCCTCAAATGCCGGAATTTCATGTCATTCCATATATGGCATCTTTTAACTTTTTTTGTTGTATCACTAAAAGAGAAACACCTTTACTTATTGAGGAAGGATATGGCTTATTCATATAGATAGTTCAGGCAGGGGATGAAAGTCAGACAATGAAGAGTACCCTGCCTGTCTGATAAATCAGATCAGCGAACAAAAATCGACATGCTTTATGTATTTTCTGAACTGATACGCATTACAGATGAAAGAATTAGATCAACAAAAGAAACAGGGAGTGTATTTTCTGCTTGTACAGATGAAAGTACAGTTTGCTGCCTGGCAGATCTTGGCCAGGGTTGTTGGGGCATAGCACATGCGCGCAAAGGGTTCTGCTGTATGTATTCATACTTTCTATTAACTTTTGTTGGCGGGAATGCAAGAAAGATGAGGAAAATAAAAGAAAAGAAAATGTTTATGTAAGGTTCCATTTAGCAGTGGTTACTGTCTGAAGAAGTGGGGGGATTGTTGTTGAGAGCATTCCTGGCCAAGGGCATGATGCATTGCTCTGCATCTGTACTGAATGATGGGAATGTTGTCAACAGAGTTGAGAAAGGCCTTTCCAGTGGTTGGAGGTGGCAGTGGCTATCTGGTGACCGGAAAATGGAGAAGTGTCTGGATGAAAATGATGGTGTCAGTAGCCAAATAGTGGTGGTTGAAGGCAATTTTTTAGCTGAGATTTTATGCCACGAAGGAGGGATTGACAAAATTTTATCAATTTTACAATTTAACTAATTAGCCCAATCTTTTCCTAGTTTTTCATTTTGTATTCTACCCCACCCGCTCTTAGGTAATCCCCTATATGGGGGATATCATGTTTGGATACACACTATTAGTCTGGACGTTAATTTTGTTAGCTAAATGTTAGATTATGTATTTTATTAAATCATTAATTCAATTTCAAAGTTATATCGGCCCAAATAAACATGGCCATTAAGTTTTCCAATGAACAAGTTAAAAACAACTTACCAAACCATCGAGCACATCACTAATCACTGAAATGCTCGGTTGAAGAACTCTCCATGCTTAATTTTGTTCTTCAAAAATAGATTCAATCAACCATGATTTAGCTAAAATTCTCATCACAATTAACAAACCATTTAACATCCGATAATTTTAACAAATTTTTTAACATCACCTTTTTAATGGAAGAACATTTCATTTAGTAGGTCAGACATGTATGGAAGATATAGAGAGAGACATCACTATGATATATCTGTTACACAAAATATCATTCTGATTTGTTTGGTTTTAATTTTCAAAAATTTAAGTACTTTTGTTTTTCATATTTTTTTAGTAAATTTTTTTAATATTTTAAACATTTTTTTTTTTTTACTTTTTAGAGTACCTAACCAAGATGTACTTAAAAAGTAAAATATTTGTAAAATAATGTTTTAAAAAATTAATAAATACATAAATATAAGAAAATATATTGAATTTTCATATATATTTTTTAATATTTTTGGTATTTCGTAAATTTTTCAAAAATTTTATTCACAAATATTATACTTTTTAATTGTATTTATATTGAATGTATCAAAAAAAGTAAAAAAAAAAAATTGCTTAAAATGTTAAAAAAAATCACTAAAATAAAAAAATGCAAAAAAAACAATTTTCAAAAAATTGAATTAAAAAAATTAGAACCAAATATAATTCTCACTGCTATAACATAGCATTTGTCACTAGTTAATAATATTATCACTTGATATTACCGTCATACATAATATATATATATATACATATATCATAGCAGATTCAAGTAATAACAAACACAAATTGGTAAAATGCTTATTTTTTAATGTTTCCTTGACTCTCTTAGGTGATAACAAAATATGTGATATAATTACTCGCTTTTATTAATTAATAAGCTTAATTATAAAATTTTAGAGTAAAAGTAAAAAAAAAAAAAATTAACATGAATTTTAATATTTCTAACATAATTAAATTCTCCCTTGAAACAAAATCTTCTCTTAGCAAATAAGCACATAAATATATAAAATAAAATAAAATAATTTCTTTATTTTCCAAATTTATTTTATGCTCTGTTTGTTTGGTCGAAAAATATATTTTATAAAAAAAAAAAATTCAGAAAATATTTTTTGGAGAAAATATTTTTCTATGTTTGATTGTGATGGTGGCGGAGGTGGTGGCATGGCCAGAGTGACAGTAGTAGTGAGATAATATTGATAAAATTTTAATTCGAAAAATATTTTTACCTTTTAAAAGTAAAAACATATTTTTATCCATATAAACTTTTTATATTTATCTATTATCCATGAAAAATATTTTTCGTTTTACTTTCATTTTCTATTATACCAAAAATATAAAAAAGAATAATGCTAAAGATCCCAAATATTTTACTAAATATTCTATCAAATGTCTTACGTAGCACCCACAAGAGACCTGCATGGTATGATTTTCGTACCATATAAAACATTTAATAAAATATTTAATAAAACATTGGGGTTCTTAGAATTTTTCTTTTAAAAAAAAAAAAAATTCCAGCCCAATAAGCGGAGCTTTATTTTCCTTCAATCAAACGCACCATTTTTTGATCAGTATCTTGGGGGTGAGTTTGTGATGGTTCAAAATCCACAAGGTTTAAGGAGGGTTTAGAGTCGGCCACAGCCGCTATATTACCTCTTTCTCCTCTCATCTCCTCTCCTCTCACTATTCCATTAGTTAATCCTCATGAATTGTTCTATATTTCTTCATCAATCCATTTCAATGAACCCATCTTTCTTGATTTTACTTTCTCTGGAAAATTTCATCGAACACTTTGATGTCCAGTAGCAAAACCCCCATTTGTCTCCGTATAAAGATTGATCATTTCGTTCCAATTGATAAACCCACAAATTTTCAACCGAACCCTTCAAAGAACTACACAGCTATGTGGAGGAACATTGCGAAGCTAGTCTCTTCCAAAACCCCAACAAGGTATTCCCTCAATACCCACTCTTTATCTCGTGCTTGCAGTTTTCTGGGATTTTCCCAAGATACAATTTTTCCAGAGAAAATCAAATTTAGGCCTTCTGAGATCAGTTCTTGCTCCAATATGGGGTTTCCCGAGTTGGGTTTTCGTCGAACTGGCGAATTATTGCCCCGGGACGAGTTTTGGGGAAAACCCAGTTATGGTTTTTTGAGAAACCAAGTCAGTGTTTATGCTTTGTGTCCAAAAAGCTATGGGAGTGTCGCCGAGGCGGTTTCGGTGTCCTCAACCGATGTAGATGAGGATGTCCCTATTGCCGATGAGATTCAAGAATTGTTGGATGTGATGGGCAAAGAAGACAAAAGGGAGGTTGCATTCATGGGTCGGCAACGGCGAACAATGGAGAGAGGAATGAGTAATGGGAAGTATCAGACGCTTCGGAGGAGGCAAGTGAAGATAGAGACAGAGGCTTGGGAACAGGCGGCGAAGGAGTACAAGGAGCTTCTAGTGGACATGTGTGAGCAAAAATTGGCACCCAATTTGCCATATATGAAGTCATTGTTTCTCGGTTGGTTTGAGCCTTTGAGAGATAAAATTGTTGCTGAGCAGGAATTATGCCGGCAAAAGAAGCATAAGGTGGCCTATGCTCCGTATTTTGATCAATTACCGGCTGATATGATGTCAGTTATCACAATGCATAAGTTGATGGGATTGTTGATGACGGGTGGTGAAAATGGCAGTGCAAGGGTTGTACAAGCTGCTTGCCTAATAGGTGATGCCATTGAGCAAGAGGTGGGTAAGCTCGAAATTTATGCCTTCATTTTTGAATCTCTGCATTTTATCTTTCTTTGTTGATGGAAACCTTAGCTTTGAAATTATAATTATTATGTAAAACTCAATTTGCCTTTTTTTCTTATGGTGTTGATTTATTTTTCTGGTCCCTATTATAGATTTTTTTTTTTTGATCCATCTATTATAGAATTGGTTATTTCACTTATGTGTTGGACGTTTCTTCCTAGCATTGCCTATGTCGAAGTATTATTGACAACGTGACCATGAAATTGCCGAGTTCACATCTGGGCAGAGTCACAATTTCACTTGCCTAGTATCTTGGGGACACTATTCTCTCTCTCTCTCTCTCTCTCTCTCTCTCGTAGAGACTGAGCACTGATTTTCTACTATCTGTGCATTGGATCAGGTTAGGATACACAAGTTTTTGGAGAAAACAAAGAAGAAAAAGGTTAATGACAATACAGAAACTGAAGGGGATAGTTCTGGTACTGCAGTTCATGAGCAAGACAAACTACGAAAAACCGTCACAAATTTGATGAAAAAACAAAAGCTGCATTCTGTGAGGAAGATAGTGAAGAAACAGGATGATTCAAAACCTTGGGGCCAGGATGCTAGAGCCAAGGTTAGAATGATTTCTGGTAATTACTGGTTAAATGCTTCCTACGTGCCATTTATATAGAGGTTCAATCCTTCATCTACTTTTCAGGTTGGGAGTCGTCTAATTGAATTACTGTTGCAAACTGCCTATATACAGCCTCGGGCTGATCAGTTAACAGATGGTCCACCTGATATTCGACCTGCGTTTGTACACTCATTAAAAACTGTAGTGAAAGAAAAGTAAATATCCATTTTTCATTGTTTTATTGATAGAGAAACTTCCTGCTAGTCTTCAACACTTCATATTGTGGTTTTTGTGTTTTTTATTCAACAGGAACATCAGCAGAAGATATGGTGTCATTGAATGTGACCCACTAGTTCGCAAGGGCCTCGAAAGAACTGTAAGTAAATCCATGAGTTTATTTTCTTCTTCTTTAAGATCTTCATTCTAAATAAGCCTATTGCTAATAAGCTACTTGTGTATGAGTTTGTGGGTTTCCATGACATTTGCCAATTATTTCTATCCACTTATTTGGTACTACTCCGTCATAACTTCCTGAGTAACCAAACTCGCATGATTTAATGAAGTTCTGAAGGCAATTTAAGTTTTGAGATCTCTCTCTCTCTCTCTCAAGAATACATCATAAAACTTGTCTTTTCTTCAAACAGGCTAGGCACATGGTGATCCCTTATATGCCAATGTTGGTGCCTCCAGTCAAGTGGACAGGGTTTGTAATTTAATTTTTTATGCTCTTTAATTTTTGTTTCATTTTAATTGGACTTCTCATGCTTTGATTAATCTTTAGTCAGATTTGGATTAGTTGATTGAGCTACTTGCAATGGTGCGCAAAAGCTTTTAATTTTTTTTTTTCTTTTTTCTTTTAATCTGGTGAAGCAAAATCAATTCTTGCCTAGGAAAGCTTCTTGGGGCACAACCATATATCACACACAAGTTTTTGAAGCTTTTTCACAGTTTTTTGTATACCTGTAGTAGTACCCCTGATCAAATAACTATTCTGCGCTTCTCTTTTACATTGCTGTAAGTGGAATACTCAGATCATAACTGCTTCAAACTTAAGTAACTGCCATGATTGTCTTAATTTGGTTACTCTATATATATGGTCATGCAAGTGGGTTACTAGAGGGTACCAAGCTAGACACTTTCTTATTGTCATAGGTGCCGGAAACATTTATCTAATTTAGTTACTAGTTAGATGCATAGGGAAGTAACAACAATAATTCAAGTAAACATTCTTCAACTTTACTAGAAAACTAGCCTTAGTGTCATAAGTGCACACAAAAATTCCATGGTAGGCTAAGTAATGATCCAGCCAGTTTGGATGTAGAATGAGAGAGTAACAGCTGACAGCAAGGTAAGCATACTTGAACAACTAAGTTCAAAAAATTATTATTATTATTATTGTCTCATTCGTGATAAAAAGGCAGAGAGTGAATAAATAACAATATCAACAATATCCTCAACTTTAAGAGACTACTCCAGTCTTTGGTTAATGTTTTCGTTGTGTTCATTGTGATTGAAGATGGATGGTCTAGTGTAGTAATTACAATGCAACTTCTTCTAATTAAACTAAATGGTTTACCAAAGTAGTTTTTAAGTTTTCAACATGCTTCTTACGTATTCTTTGAAGAAGTAGCCTGGTTTAGAGTCTACATTCTTTTGGGTTTTATGATATTGCCCTTGTGCAGTTTTGACAAGGGAGCACACTTATTCTTACCATCTTATGTCATGCGCACACATGGAGCAAGACAACAACGTGACGTGGTGACGAGGGTCCCTAGGAAGCAACTAGAACCAGTTTTCGAGGTTTGAGAATATATTTATTTTACATTTAATGTGATTTCATAGTTTTATGCAGAAGTTGTTTTTAGCCATCATCTTTAGAAATGATTTTTTTTTTTTTTTTTTGATAAATAAATAGAAATGATTTTGTAATCATTTTGTTAACAAACTGACCAGGCCCTGGATACACTTGGGAGTAATAAATGGAGGGTAAACAATAAGGTTCTTAATGTTGTGGATAGAATATGGTCCAGTGGAGGTCGTCTTGCTCACTTGGTTGACCGCAATGACGTGCGTATCTTTGTATCTCTATCTTAAAAGTTTCATCATACTCCACTTGTCATTTTTGCTTTTCCCCAACTAATTTATGCCATGAGGGGTTTTCATTCATTGGAAAAAATTAAGTAAATGTTTTACTACAGATCCCTTTGCCGGAGAAACCAGATACGGAAGATGAAGCACTGCTCAGGAAGTGGAGGTGGAAAGTTAAATCTGTGAAAAAGGACAATAGGGAGAGACATTCGCAGCGGTGCGATGTAGAGCTTAAATTTGCTGTAAGATCAATTTCACTTTCTGTAAGGTTGTAAACACAACACATTCAAGTTGGACCATGACAACTCTTCTTGGTTGGCGAGCAGGTAGCACGGAAAATGAAAGATGAAGAAGGTTTCTTCTACCCTCACAACCTTGACTTTCGAGGTCGTGCGTACCCCATGCATCCGTACTTAAACCACCTTGGTTCAGATGTGTGTCGTGGTATTCTGGAATTTGCAGAGGGACGTCCTCTTGGAAAGTCAGGGATACGCTGGCTAAAGATTCACTTGGCTAATCTTTTTGCTGGTGGTGTGGACAAACTATCACTTGAGGATCGAATAGCATTTACTGAAAATCACTTGGATGATATATTTGACTCTTCAGACCAACCTCTAGAAGGAAGGCGCTGGTGGTTAAAAGCAGAAGACCCATTTCAGTTCTTGGCTGTGTGCATTAATCTCTCTGAGGCTCTGAGAAGCTCATCTCCTGAAACAACCATGTCTCACATTCCTGTGCACCAGGTAGTACTTTTATAGAATGCACTAAATTTTAGTCTTTTATTATTTAAGGTTTTGTTTTGATCAAATTTAAGTCACTTTGGAGAATAACAGCAAATAAAGTAATGTGTTTTCTGGAAGTATGAATTCCAACCATTTTACTTGTAAAATTGAAATTTTTAATAAATAGAAAAGATCAACATGGTGTTCTGGCCAGAAGGTTTTCTGCCCTATCTAAGAATAAAGTAGATAAGTTTATATAATGAAATAATCTTGTTTTATAGGACCTTTTTTAGTTGATTGCTATGTTAAACAGAAAATGTGGGACCTGCAACTTTAAAACTGTTTATGTATACACTGTACTTGCCGTTCAAGCTATTCCTCACATATAGCTGTCATTATGAGTGTACAATATTTTTCAAATAGCTTGTTCTGAGGTTATTGTCTTCCTTTCTCTCTCTTTTTGACTCTTTCACTTGATTTTCTAGGACGGTTCCTGCAATGGTTTACAGCATTATGCCGCCCTTGGAAGAGACAAGGTACTAAGCTTTTTCTTTTGTTGCGAGTAAGCATTGGGTTGTTTTTTCACTTCTCATATATGGCAACCCACAAACCCGATCCATTTATTAGTACCACCTGTTCCCTGACTACCTGAAGTGACAGTCCAGAGATATTAAGTACTTGAAAACTTAGGAAAAGATGGCTCATATGCTATGTTGGCAATTTAAATTTGGGGTGTTGCGAACACGTTCGCTTTGCTATGATAGGACTTGAACCCACTCTCTTATGCTTGATAGGTTGTTTTGTTCACTTCACCAATCAATCAACAATCCCATAAGCTTTTAATAACTGTATAAGAAGCTGAGACCATTAGTTATGAAAGTTCGTTAAATATTCATTGCTTTTACGAAATTTAGCAACAGTTACAAACAAAGTAAATGGAGAAATATAGCCAGAGAAATGTCATCTTTCATTTCATTGGAGCTAAGAAAAAATGTAAACTTTTTATCCATTCATGACCCCCAAAAAAAAAATTTGTTTCCTGTTTTGTTGCCTATCTCTGGCTTCTCTGATGGATTTTTTTCTTTCAGTTGGGAGCAACTGCTGTCAATTTGGTTGCTGGAGAAAAACCTGCTGATGTTTACTCAGGAATAGCTGCTAGGTAAGTAGCTTTTTCACAATGCAAGAAGCTTATATCTTTTCGTTCAGGTTTTATAGATATTAACAGAGTTAAATCACCTCAGTTGACAATTGCATGTTAAAAAATGCCATATTTGCCATGCAGAGTTCTAGATATAATGAGGAAAGATGCTCAGAAAGATCCTGAAGTATTTCCAGATGCACTGCGTGCAAGGCTTTTAATCAATCAGGTTGGTACCACTACCACGTCTACTATGACTACTAATCATTATTAGTGAAGTAAATTACATTGACCTCCTTGAGGTTTCCAGCCATTTCCTTGTGTTTTTGAAATATGCCCTCTCTTACTTACATCTAACATAACATTATGTATATACCTCCCCCCTGTTGACATACCATCAATGAGAATGATGGAAAAAGATAATGTCATCACTTTGTTAATTTGTAATGCCAATTTTACCCTTATTTAGTCAATGCAAGCAGACATTGTCAGTTATACCCACACCACTTGTCAAAGGAAAATATGATACTACTACAAAATTCATTTATGCCACATCCCATGAGAAAAAGGGAAATATGATACTACTACCAAATTTAATTTAATTGAGCATCTCTCTCTCTCTCTCTCTCTCTCTCTCTCTCTCTCTCTCATTTGAAACCCAGCTGCAGTGATTGAACCCAAACACCATAATCCACCACCCCGACACAGAGAGAGATAGAGAGCAAGGTTGAAGAAAGCAACAGAAACCTTGCTTTGTGACGAGTTGCTTGTTTCTCTCTCTTATTTTTGTCTTTTATTTTTTTGGTTTGGTTTTGGTTTTTTGATTGCTTCTTTCTCTGTATTGTTCTTGTCATCACTGAATCTAGCTGATCAATAAACTTCCAATCAATATTCATTTTGTGTTAAGGGCTGTTAGCCGACCATTATGATAGGGGAGGTTTGTGTAATTTGGGAAACCTGAGAGAAGCTCTTTCTATTCGTTTAATACCTTACAGGTTAGTGGGAACAGTACTTATTAGGGTCCACAAGACGCAACAGGAAGTACTCTCTAAACCAAAAGAACAAAGATCTCAGCATTGATTTCTTTGACTTTGTGAGTGGGAAGCACCACCCATTCCTTTCCCTCAACCACATAAGACAAAAAGATGCCACATCCCAAACAGCTTGAACTCTTCTCTGGGAGCAATCCTTACTCCGAATGCCCAACATATTAGACACTGTCATTTACTTAGTATGCTATTTTTATTTACTTAAATAAAACCGGGATATTCTTCACTGTGCTTTTCTCGCTGCACATTGACATCTTTCTTAATTATCCCAATAGTTAGTTATTTTCTATGAGTGACGTTGGACTAATAAGTGGCAATAATCTAGGTGGACAGGAAATTAGTGAAGCAGACAGTGATGACATCAGTGTATGGTGTAACTTACATTGGTGCTCGGGATCAGATCAAGAGAAGGTTGAAGGAACGTAATGCCATCGCAGATGATACAGAGCTCTTTGGTGCAGCCTGTTATGCTGCAAAAGTAAGGGCAGGATCATTGACAGTTCTTCAGTCTTGCATCTATTTATAGAGCATAACATTTGCTCCATGGAATAGCCTTTTGTATGCAATGCATTTTGTGTATATTAACATCAGACTGGACCAAGCATGGACACGGACAGGTGACATGACCCCGACAAGACGACACGGAAATTTTCAAAAAATATAGGACATGTGCAAAATATATAATTTTGTATATTTATTACATGACATATAAGAATAAAGAATTATTAAATGTCATATATATGATTAAATAATTCAAAGATAATAATTTTTAAAGTCTAAAAGAGGAGAATAGGTGTAAATTGATGTTTTTTTTACCTTTTATCTTTGGGTTTCATGTTGTTTTATTCATACTTATAATGTGTTTCATGTGTGTCTAAGAAATAGACACGTGTTTCTCAAGTGTATGAAGCACTTCCAAATATAGAAAATTTTTGAAATAGTTGGACATGTTTGGACGTGTGTCTAACAGGTGTCGTGTCATGTCATGTCAAAACCTTCTTAAAAGTGTCCATGCTCAACAATTTTTTGTGGGATCCTTGTTTTCTCAAGTCATCTGTCTCATGGATTCACACATGCCAGATGTCAATTTTAAGTAGCCAATAAAACAAGAAAGTCACATGTCCTCATGTTAGGAAAAATTTAAATAGACTATAACTTGGACTGTAGCAGGGGCAGGTTGCTAATTTGATGCATCATGTATGCCATGCGTAATAGCATGGGAGGTTTTTCTTTTCCAATGTCAGTCCAATAAAGACAACTCATATTTACGTGGATTCATTCATGTAGCTTTAATTTCATCGTAAGAATATTCTTCTTTTCTGGTTGAGCAGATCACATTGACTGCATTGGGAGAGATGTTTCAAGCTGCTCGTAGTATCATGGGCTGGCTCGGTGACTGTGCAAAGGTGGTACCATATCCTCTATAATCACTTTTGATTGCTGTAATAACATGTTAAATATACATCAGTACATGGCAATTATTCTGAAGGAATTTGATTTGTTTTATTTCTTGGCCCTTTTTTCTTTCCTTAATTTGAGGACTCAGATTTGATTATTCCTGCCTCTTGCTCCTTGGAACTTTAATGTTTATTGATTAGTGTGAACAGATTATTGCGTCTGAAAATGAGCCAGTGCAGTGGACAACTCCACTTGGACTTCCTGTTGTGCAGCCTTACCGTAAACTAGGAAGACATCTTGTGAGTGTTAAATTTTGAAGGCACATATCTGTTGTCAATATCCTTTTACCATTTTTGACAAACCATGAAATCATTTTCATGTTGGTAAGCTTCTATTCATTGTTTTGTATGTAGGTTAAGACTTCTCTTCAGGTTTTGACACTTCAGCGTGAAACAGAAACGGTAATTCTACCTATCTTGTCAAGTTTTCTGCTATCCTATTAATGTTCTTCAGTGTTAGTATCCAACCTAGGCTTATTTATTAGTATGTTACATGGACTCTTCTGAATATTTGAAGTACCATGTAGGACACTTGACACTTATGCAAAGGTATGGGATGTGTCCTACATGTGTAGTTGGCCGTTCACAGTAATTCAAGTGTACGTTTACCATAAAACTATACATACATGAATGCATTGTGGCATATTGTGAACACCATTTTACCGTAGAAAATAAAATAAATATTTTGCCATGTTCCTGAATCCTTGGGCATGGGAATTAGATGAATTTGGATAACTTAATACAGTACATGTACCCAATAACCGTACCCGAGTCCATGTAACATAGTATTACAAATGAATTGCATGCTAAAGTGATATATTTTAGCCTTTGGGATAGCTTCATCTCCAGCTTCGAGTTTATCTTTTTGTGACTAATATTTTCAATGCAAAAATTGTTAGTTTTCTAGACCCAAAATCTCAACCTTAGTGGTTCTCACTACTATTACAGATCATGGTCAAGAGGCAGAGGACAGCTTTTCCACCAAATTTTGTTCACTCCCTTGATGGTTCGCATATGATGATGACTGCAGTTGCCTGCAAAAAAGCAGGCTTAAACTTTGCTGGTTCTTTTAATGCTTCCCTTTTGTTTCAAAATTCCTCTCTCTCTCTCTCTCTCTCTCTCTCTCTCTCATTGTTTTATTTGTTGCAGGGGTTCATGATTCATATTGGACACATGCTTGTGATGTGGATGAAATGAACAGGATATTACGAGAGAAGTTTGTGGAACTCTATGAAACACCAATATTGGAGAATGTATGTTACACTGCCTTCACTTCTGAAATGCTTCATTTAGATTTTGGTAGGAGGCGCTTTATATAGTTGAATATCGTCAATAACCTCAAGAATTGGTGATCTCTAAATTTACACATTTAGAGCTTGTCAATTTCTCCTCAAATATTCAATTGACGCTTTTTTTATTAGGAAAAAAAAGAAAAAAGAAAAAGAAAAAGTTGATGGGAATTTAAATACAGTCAAATTGGTTCATAATATTAACTACATTCATATATATTCTAAATGTGTGAAATACCCATACCCATCCAATGTGTCTAATTGGTCATGCACCCTGTACACGTCAATAATTGAGTTGACTTCATAAAAATTCACATTATTCATAAAATACTCTCTATGGCTTTATAATATTTAGAAATATGAATATTGTCCTTAGACATAGGAATTGGAAATCCAACTGACACTACACATCAGTATAATGGATGGTTTAGTGTATATTCCGACTCCAAAGCAATCAGTAAACCCCATTTAGATTATATTTCTGAAGTAACAAGTGTTTTACTACTCTGCAAAACTAAGTTGCTTTAAATGTTGAAATATAGTGTTATATACTTAGCCGCAGCTGATCTGAATTGTTGTACCTTTGTGTAACAGTTGTTGGAGAGCTTTCAGAAGTCTTTCCCCACATTATCTTTTCCCCCCTTGCCCGAACGGGGAGACTTTGATCTCAAAGATGTATTAGAGTCACCCTACTTCTTCAACTGATCTGAACCAAAAGCAACTCCTTCTCTTACTTGTACAGTGACATGGTGACTTTGATCTGAGAGATGCACTAGGGTCACCCTACTACTACTGATCTGAACCAAAACCTACTCTTCCTCTTACGTATACTGTGACATGGTGCCTCTGTGCATGTTTCACTGTCTCTGGTCTTTCTGTTTGCTACCGTATATGGGCATGGCAAAGTAAGAGGGCAATCTCTGCTTATAATCTGGTAGCAGACTTGAGGCATGGATTGTTTGAGCATTGAGATGATCTCTCCAAGGTACAATACTACTATATACACAATTCAATCTGCAGCTGCAAGCTCCAGTTTTCCCAGTACAGTCAACAAAGAGATTCTTTAGCGGTGCATGCCTGCTCTGAGATGGTTTAGAAGATTTTCTGAAGTAGATTCATTGTGCAAGAAGCTTCAAGAGGTTGCCAATGTACAATTTTGCAACAGTACACATTCTTCCTCAGCGAATCATGTCTTCGAACATGAAGGATATTAAGCTTTCCAATGGATACAGATCTATAGAATCAGGCTGACAGGAGAAACGCTGAAAGTTGCAGAACCCATTCAGGATAGCTGACCTTGCATACACAGATGAATTACAATTTATTGTCTCATGAGGGGTTTTTGTGTTAAGTATGGTCCATATGGCTCACTAATTGTAATATTATATGCTTCTCCTATCATGTAAATTTGTGTTAGTATTATGTTAATTGAAATTAATAGTTTCGGTAATGCAATTGTTGCCAGCAACATTATGTATTAGTATTATGTTTTGAAAAAAAAAAATTCTCATTTAAACTGCAATGAAATAAAGAGCATACACAATCTTTTCAACCCCTTCCACTCTATAGGTCTGCACATCTTTTGGGGCACTTAGTCAACGTAAGTTACTAGCCAACCAGGAGCTAAATCAGATTGATGAGGAAACCTATTTAAACAACTCTACCAAGAATAAGTAATCAGACGTAAGCAGAAATTTTTATTCAGTGGAGCTCTAGGTATAAAATGTCCAAGCTTAATTCTAAATATAAAATGTTCAAGCTTAATTCTAAAACTCATTTGATCAGAATAAATTTTTATTAAGTGTGGAGTTCTAGGTATAAAATGTTCAAGCTTAATTCAAAAAATCATTTCATCAGAATAAAAAGCTGTGGGCGGAGCTCTAAATGTAAATGCAATGACAATTTAGTTCCGCAGAAAAGCTAAAAACACAGCACAAAACATAATTCTCGTCGGTCATCATGATCAACACAAAACATAATTCTCGTCGGTCATCATGATCAACACAATGAGCTGAAGAAAAATTGTGAAATATATACACTAAGCGAACAATAGTTCTAAACACCAAAGTTCACAGCCTAATAACTCTGACGAGTGATAATTGGCATAAAAGCCGATACACCAAAAAACTCATTTTTATACACAGTAACCAAGTACAACAACTAAGCGGCATATAACCCTCCCTTATAGGAATTCCTTCCTCTGATGCCGAGATTTCAGTAACCAAAACGATCATTTAGTGAAGTCCGTCCATCGCCTGATTGTCCTGGATGAAGCATCACAAATATTCGATCAGCAACAATAACATTAAAAATAAATAAATAATAATAAAAACTCACAATAAAGTGATAATCAATAAACCAAAGACAGTAGTTCACCTTTAGGAGGCACCCAGGATTCATAATCCATTTTACTGTCAAGAAATGAAGGTCTCTCTGGTCCAAGCACTCTTTTCGGCATTTTATCGTCTTCAATGTTATGTCCTGCCTCATCATCAGCTGCATGGTACCCTCTTTTATGTTTCAATAACAGTGCCACAGCATCTTCTGCCCCGATTTCATTTCCAACTGATGAAATTGTCGACTGTTCAGAAGCATTGGTTTCACTGACATTAGCCTTCTCAACATGCTTTCGCTTCCTTATTATTAGACCTGGGGCTGCATTTTCAAGCCCCAAATCCACATTCACTTGGGCACCATCTTGATTTTCCAGAACCTTCTTTCTGTCTTTATAGTCGACAAACTGATCAGACTCCTGCATATCCACCAGGGCTTCTTGATGGGTCTCTTTTGTCTCCACGGTCTGTACAGCCCCAAGCCATTGGGGCTTAACAACAGTATAAACAGTAGTTTTGCTTTCTGTTGCATCAACTACAACCTCATCTACCTCCTGCTTCTTGCACGATTCCATTGTCACATCAGTAGTTACCTGTTTCTTAACAGAGACGCGCACTGATTTTTCTGAGTTGATTTTTTTACTCGGCTCCGATGGAGTTTGCTTCAAACTTGCAGAACTGGAGACTTTGGACGGATTAGGTTTTGGATCTTGTGATTTTGATTCCCTTTTCCTAGCAGCTTCTCCAGCTGGGTCGGCAATCTTCAGCAAGTAGAGTATCCTGCTCAATTCTGACTGAAGAGTCGCCAACTCCTTCTGAAGCTGCTCAGTTTTATCGTGCACTGGCATTTGATAATACAGGAAATAAGCAAAAAGAAAAAATAATAATAATTAAAAGAAAAGAGTCCTACTGATTTTGCTGAAGACTGGGATATTCTGCAATCAGGAAATAAATAAAAGCTCGGATGAATTTCAAACAAACAAACATGCACAGGCCCAACATCGGTCAACGCAGAGTTTAACCAATAGAAGGGCATCTATTCTTAGAATCATAAAGCAGTCGTTACCCTTGTTGAGAATCATTGTGGCTCTTTTGGTGGTTGGGATCTATTTCATTGTACTCTTTTTTCTTTTTTTTCTTTTTTTTCTGGATATGTAAGTAAAATTGTAGGACTGCTGTGTTTTATTCTTCACTTCCATGACAACTTTTCTTCTACGCTGTGTTTGGTTCATCAATTTGGGGAGGCATTTGAAAATGGAAAAGGAAAGGGAAAGGGAAAATGTAAGTGAAATGTGAATAAAATATAACTATATTTCACCTACGGTTCACATACCTTTTCTCTTTTCATTTCCAAATCACTCCCTAAATCCATGAACCAAACACAGCCTTAAGCATTTTCACTAAGAGGAAACATTTATCATCCTTCTTCACCCCTCTATGCTCTCGTTTCTCTTCAATATTCTTCTCATTTTTATCAAAATAAAATAAAATGGTGCTGCCTTGGATATTCATTTCAACTTACTAAATATACTGTGTTTTAACATTTAAAGTAGAATTTGTAATTTAAAAGGAGGATGAAATTGGATGGATGAACAGAGCAGTGAGTTTCATCAATTTCCCAACAAGTTCTGATAAGCCTTGCCAGAGTTTCTTATATCATATGCCCTCTTAAAATCTCAAAAATGGTAGATTTAAATGTCAAATGAACAAGATATCCTGAGAATATATCACCAATAGAATGGCTCACCTAGTTGAGATGATAAATCAGACATGTAGGCATCTAGTGCGTCTCCAGCATCAGTTAGAACTTCATTTTCTGATGCTATTCTATCCTTCTCCTCCAAAAGCAACTTTTTCTTCTCTTCCATTTCTGTAATGATGGCATCTTTCTTGTCAAGTAGTGTATCAGCTGTTTCAATTGACTGGTTTTCACCACCCTTACGGTTGGAAGTCTTTTTCTTTGTCCGGTCATAGAACTCATCATCATCACTGGACAGTTAGAAATGCATAGTATGGAGTTTAAGCAATTCCAAAGCAATAAGTTCATAACATTATATATTGATTTTTTAGCGAAATTGTAAGTCTTATATATATCGTTGCTTAGGCATGAATTTTTAAGAGTCATAGAGACATCCAATATATGAAAGAACCATCTGGGTGGGTTCACAAGAAATTTTAAGATAATGACAATGAATTGGATAGCAAATTAAGTAATCATGTAATATTTTAGTTTATTTATATGTTTAGCATTTCTTAAATGTACGTTTTCATTTTCCACAAAAAAAAAAAAAAAAAGATGTTTGCAATTATCAGGTACCTCAAATATTCTTCTTCATCTTCTTCTCTTGCTCCTTTCTTCTTAGTGTTGGGCATCCTTCCAATACATGCACCTAAGCTTTCTCGGATGCTTTCATTTAGAGTCTCTTCCAAGTTTTCAAGCTCCTCCATAACCTGAGAAAATTCTGACATTAATTACCAAAAATAAAGAGAATAATATAAAAAAACTATGCTAGATTCCTTGATGAAGAGAACTTATACTGTAATACACCACGGCAAGACTAGAGAAAAACCACTCTCTCGTGTTGACATTGTACCTGAGATATTCTCTGTTCATTCCGAGCGATCTGAGTCTGTTGCCCCTGTGTCAACCCACCTTGAGAAATATCCTTAACACGAATAGCATCTATTTCTTTCTTCATGTTAGCAATCTGTAGCCAGATAACATAGCATAAACTGTAAAATTTATAATGGAAGGCAGAATGATGGAAAACTGGCATTGACCAAATTTCAAAAATTAAAACATAATAATAAATAATTTCCATAGTAGGTAAAAATCAGATGAGTCAATTTGGAACCACCAATGGAAAAGAACATAGCATGGTGATTTATTCAACTTTTTATCACTTTCCCATTTAATATCACTGATGCATTATGACTTCTGCAATCCATGGCAGTGATTGACATTAACAAAAACCATAGTCAACTATGTTCCCAACTGCCACATAATTGGAACTCCACTAAACAAGACAGAAAATACATGGGAATGTCTCAAAAAAAAATAAAAGCAGCCAGATAATAAACAAATAAAATAAAATAACAATAACAAGGACACAAATTGACTCAAAAGTTCTGTGAAGGTTCAACCAGATAAAAACAAAATATTTGGCATTATTTACACAAAGCAATTGCTCTCTGACTCAAACCCACACTTCCACTCTTCGCTGCCCGAGCTTCTACAGTTGCACCAGAATATGTGAAATTAAATAACTTCAAAGTTAAATTTGAAGACACGAGATTAAAAGCAATAAAGAGATCCAAGACATTAAAAAATTGCCTGTGTTAAAGAATCCATTAGTAGAAAATGATTAAAAAGAAAGACACTTACCTTCTCAAGTCTTTTTATAACTTTATCACGTGTTTTTTCCTGCTTCTCTGTAAGCTGCCCCTTGAAGTTTTGCCAAGTTATTTCATCAACATCATCCTAAATATCCAAGGCCACTTTGATTAGTAGGATAAATAGACAAGATTTTCTTTAATTTTATTTCCCATGAGAAAAGAATTTTTTTTTTTTTTTTTTTTTGATGACCAAAATTTTATTAACTAAAATGCCATAGAGGGGAGCTTAACCATGTACAAAAAGCCAAAGCCTTACATCCACTGGCAGATACAAATCACATATAAACTACAGAAAAACAAAACTGAGAAAGGATAGTTGTTTGAGCTAAAATGGGTAACTCCTCAAAAGAACTCAAATTACGCTCCCTTCAAACTATCCACAATAAACCTAACCCAACAAGCAGGGAATTACCCATGGCCTTTCCACAGATTAGGCTCCCCATCGGCTCCTCAGTGCAGAGCTACTCTGACTATAGTAAGGCCAGTAATATGAAACAGGCCTATTTGCAACAAGACCCAAGTAATGGCCTTGTCCCCACACAAAGACACCACCTCAAGGTCTACCCCCTCTTACTTTTTTATTTGGGGGGGAGGAAGAGTCTTTCAACTTGTACAGTATTGTTTCTCATTTTAAAGAACATCCAAATCAAGTTCCTTGTTGTCCCTGCAAAAATAGTCATCAGTACCAAAATTGGTTTACAACTCACTGCCTGCTTCTTATGTATATAGTCGAATTTTTCCCTCCTCAAAGCTAAGGAATGAATTGGCACTCAGATATTAATGGAAGCCATGTTCAGAAAAGAACAAACTCATAGCATTTCCGCAATTCTTGGAGAACCATTAACATGCAAAACTACATGTACACAGCTGAAGAAGGTTTCCTAAAGTTGAAATGATAAAAAGTGTGCAAACCTCAGTTTCTTCTATAGCATCGTCACGCATGCCCCAAGATATACCATCAGCACGAGAGGCTTCAAGTTTTGCTCGTAAAAGTGAAGCTTCCATATCTTGCATCTCATCTCGCATCTTTGCATTTTTGATTTTCTTCAAGTCACTTTCCTTCAATACAAGCCACACAATAAGCTGTTACATTGGAAAATATGCACATGCACAAGCACGCACACAAACCCACAAAAATGTATGCACAGTAGTAGTAGTAGTAGTAGTAGTAGTAGTAGTAGTAATAATGTTAGCCAGAGTTTTACACAAAAGGTCAAGCATTCAAAATTTCCTGTTTTTGTTCTCAGCATAAATACAAAATTTGTTGCTGTAATACTTACAATTTACAAATGTAACAAAGGGAAGACAAAAAAGTGAGTTCAGGATTCAGATGAACCGAACAATCCTTGTCATAAATGGTCTATGGAACGGTCACTAAAAGATGGAGTTCAGCATGCTGAATTCTTTTCCAGATTATTATGATGACAGTAGTTTACAGTTTTCAGATGGCAAGTACCCTTCAAACTAAAAACACTCTCGTATGCTTCCTGGACTATTATGCCACCCATCCTAACATGCCTCGGTTCTCATGGAGGAGGAGTAGCTTAAGAGAGATTTTAAGTGTAGGAGTTTGAAGAAGTTTAGCTCATCTGGAAAATCATTGTATGAATACATCAAGACAGACTCTTCATCTTACAGAAAAAGCCTGGATGGTAGCATAAAAAATTTGTGGGCCACATTGTCAAACTATCATGTCTCTCATTATAGTACTTATTTTTTGTTATCAACAAAAGTGGAAGCTTATGAGATATTTATCCATTAGAAATAAAGACAGATCTAAGAAGAAATATATTCATAGTAAGAATGTGAAAGCACGAAACAATTTTAAAAAAAAAGGGAATATGCTTAGTTTAGAGCATAAATCAAACTGCATGGCACAAAATATATTTGTAACTAGCGAAGTGTGGGGTACAAGAATCAGAAGGTTAGGCTCCTGCCAAACGAATCTCATGACTCATGGTCTAAAAGAGTCATCAAATATGATAATGACATAATAACACAGATGATTGATTGTCATCCATTGACCTGATGATTTCTTATAGGATTAGAAGATGAATGGATTTATTTGACAGATATGGGGAATACCTTGTTGGTTAATCAAACAAAATTGGAGGGTAAAGAAACTAGTGTGTACGGTGGTGAACATATATGATTATCTTATTCAACTACCAAATCTCAATAAAACACCAATGGCTCCTGCCAAACAAATCTCATGACTCATGGTCTAAAAGAGTCATCAAATATGATAATGACATAATAACACAGATGATTGATTGTCATCCATTGAACTGATGATTTCTTATAGGATTAGAAGATGCATGGATTTATTTGACAGATATGGGGAATACCTTGTTGGTTAATCAAACAAAATTGGAGGGTAAAGAAACTAGTGTGTACGGTGGTGAACATATATGATTATCTTATTCAACTACCAAATCTCAATAAAACACCAATCATATATAGATACCAAAAAGGTCAAACAAAACAAAGCAGAAGAAGAAAAAAAAGTGGTGATACAACAGTCTCACCAGTGGCATCAACTCAGATGGTCCTTGGAATATGTGTAATCGAGACGAGCTGTACAAAAAAACAAACAATGAGCAACAACAGAAAGTATACACATCAAAAGCATACAAATTATGATTGCACAAGAATCTTAAGACCTTAACTAATAACTTTATTTCTTCCCAAGAATCTAGCATGCCCTCAATATAAACAAATATATATATATATATGGAGAGAGAGAGAGAGAGCGAGCGAGAGAGAGAGATGATATTTGAAAGGAACACTCAACAGAGTGACCAAACAAAATTCAAATATGAAGCAATTCTCCAAAGAGGTGGTGCAGAGGAGTAATTGCAGTCAGGTGTTAGTGATGAAGACCTGTGACTAAAAATAAATGGAACCTCAAGACTTGTATGTGAAAAGCTTTATATAAAAAATAAAAATAAAAACAAAAAATTCAGATCTCTTGATTATCTACATAATCAAAAGGCAATGGCAGTACTTTCACCCCCAACCTATGAAGCACATATACCTCTCTGGAGGTCACGTACCGATATCCGACGCGTCCGACAAGCTGGAAGAATCAGACACATGGCGATACGCTGAATAGCATACCCAAGGTTGATAAATTTGATGAGAATAATATTTGGCAGAAAATAAATATATAATATTAGAAAAATGGAATATTATAAATATATAAAATTATATGTTTTGCACATTGCCCGCATGTCACATCCTACTTTTTTTGAAAACTTACGTTGTCACTAAACTCTTTCAAACGGCTATTTTCTATGCCCAGCAAGCAGCAAGTTAATTTTGTGCAAAGAAGACGCTATGGTGAACAGGATGATTAATTTCATACTAAACAACAAAACTCCTGAAGTATACAATTAATGATGTCATCAGGAAAAAATGTCTAACTTTAAATTTTACATAATAACATACAGTATACATGCTTCTGGATGTATAGTTCATACAGTCTTTGTTTCAAGTGTTCCTTTGTGGCAGTATTCTTTTTAATAATTTTTTTGCTTATCAAATAAAGAACACATAGTAGATATCAAACATGTTATGACTTCCTGGATTGTCGTCACCTAATCTGTGGGATGGATCACCTAGTACATTAAAAATAAAGATAAACAGTGAAAAATATGAAAGAATATTTGTCAAGGAAAATATGGTTGGGCAACTAGCATGAAAGAAAATGAGGAAATTGCAACAATTACTTACTGGCCAAATCGAATCACATCACCGACACGCAACTGTACATAAACCTTTTTCTTCACCTAATAAATTGGCATTGTCAATCCATCAGGAAAAATTATGCCTCAAATTCATAATTGTTGGTATATGGTACAACAAATAGATAATAATTTTTACAACATAAACACTAAATGGTGGTACCATTAATAGATAATAATTTTCATTACATAACCATTCTCGGGTTGCAATTATTTGTTCAGTGAAAAGGATAGCAAATATTAAGCTATTCAAAGATATAAGGTTCAATGGTTTTTTTTTTTTTTTTAGGCATCAAATGAATATGCTTTGAATGAAAAATAATGCCATGCATTTGAACATATGCTAACTTGAGTAAACAAATCAAGATACCTGATTCTTGTTTACAAAGGTCCCATGTGTACTACCGAGATCATAAAGATAAGCGTCTGCATTTCTCTTGAACTGAAGAACTAACAAAGAGGGAAACATTTGATCAAATAACAAAATGAAAATCGTTCACATCATTAACTAACTATTGCAAGTTTCCAAAGACTTTATATTTGTTGTGTAACAGAATGAAAATCAAATAACAATAATGTAATCCATAAATCATGTACATAAGTAACCAACCATTTGATCTTCATATTAACAAAAACGATATTTCATGCATCAAAAATAGTATATTGCCAAGCACAACCAAGCTATAATAATGGCTCAGGTTGACAATAGAAACTTAAAACTCTCCATCAATAAGAAATTTGTATGTATTATACATAACTAAGATGGCCAAAGTATCAATCAATTCTACACAAAAAATAAGTTCTTGCTCAAGACACTACGTGTATTGCCATGAGTAATTTTCCTGTAATGGAATGATTTTTCAAAAAACATTGATCTCCTCAATTAATAGAAAAGAGACATAATACTGCAATATTGTGCAAGCAAGGAAACATTTTTGGGTTCTAGCTGTCACATATATAGCAGAAGCCCTCAAAAAAAAAATATTGTAAACCAATGCACATGGCTGCCACTTAAGGGTCTGGGAGATGTAGTGATCCCGATTTTGACCCGGTCAGCTCACCGAAAGCAAAAATGCAAAATGCATTCAAAATTGCTTACGAGAAAATGTATTTCACGCTCGAGCGGACCATGTTATATTAGTCCATAAGGAGAGATTTCAGATCACTTTTTCAGTTCTCTCTCTCTAAAACTCTCCAAAATTTCCAGATCTAGAGCTTCTCTCTCTAGAAGTCATCTTCTCTCTTTGATTCCTCCAAATCCGTTGGGAGTTAGGCCTCGTTTGGGAACAGGCTAATTTAGTAATTTTTTGGCTATTTGGCTAAAAAGATAGCTAAAAAAAACTTCTATGTTTGGGATGACTTTTTGGCTAATTACGAAAAGATGTGCAAAAAGTAGAGAGAAAAGAGAATCTTTGACTTTTTTGTATGAATTGTTGGCTTTTTAGCTAATTTAAGTCTCGTTTGGGAACATGCTAATTTAGTAACTTTTTGGTTATTTGGCTAAAAAAGTAGATAAAAAAAACTTATATGTTTGGAATGACTTTTTGGCTAATTACGAAAAGATGTGCAAAAAGTAGAGAGAAAAGAGAATCTTTAACTTTTTGGTATGAATTGTTGGCTTTTTGGCTAAAAAGGTAACTTTTTGACTTTTTGACTAAAAAGTAAGTCCCCAAACGGGGCCTTAGTAACTTTTTGACTTTTAGGCTAAAAAGATAAGTTCCCAAACGGGGTCTTAGACCGAAGTTCTTCATCAAAGTTGTGTAACTTCTCGAGAGTTTCGTTGTGTGCGGTGGAAATCGAGTTTCGACACCGTAAACTTTGGGGCTTCATCTCATTTCTTCTTCAAAACTTGAAATAAAGATTTCTTAGGGAGTGTTTGGTAACGTTTACGTTTTTAGTTTATATTTACAAAAATTTTATAAACTGGTTTTTATTTATTTTTAGAAAAACATAAACTACAAACGCATTTGGTAATTGACAAAATGTTTAAAAAATTTTAAAAATATAAAAAAGAGTGAGAAATGACAAGTGGTGGCAAGTGGCGGCGGAAGACGGTGGTAGAAAGTGGTGACGGTGGGTGATGGATAGCTGGTGGTGGTGGGTGGTGGTGGTAGGTGGGTGGGTGACGGTGGTGGGTGGTGGGTGGTAGCGAGTGGGTGGTGGTGGTGGTGGTGGCGGATGGTGGTGGCGGATAGGTGGCGGGTGGTGGGTGGTGGTGGTGGTGGTGGTAGCGGGTGGTGGTGGTAGGTGGGTGGCGGATGGGCGCTGGTGGCGGGGGGGGGGGGGACGATGGCGGGTATATCTTGTGTTTGCTTGCTGTTTTATCTGAACTTGTATAAAATCCTTTGAATTTCAAGTTTCAATTCCCATAAGACGTATTTAAATTTGTGAAGAGCATGTGCTCCACCTGCACATTGTGATCTTTGAGTAGCTATTTTGTCCTGGGTGCATGTTAACGGTGGTGGAAAATGGTGGTGGGTGGTGGCTAGTGTTGGGTAGTAAAAAAAAAAAAATTCAAAACTTAAAACGGAAACACATTTTTTGTGTTTTCATTTTTTGGCCAAATTTATAAACTGAGACCACTGATTTATAAATCAAAAATTTTACCAAACAAGTTTTTATTTGAGTTTTTAAAATTTTTGTAAATATAAACAAAAAACTGAAAACGTAAGTGTTACCAAACGGCACCTTAGAATTATATATATATATTTTTGCAAGATCTATATGATTTTCGAAATCATCTTTCGATAGCTTTGAAAATTGATTGTTGATTCAAGAAGTTGAACGATTTTGAAAGTGAGTTTGTCTCTTATTCTTTTAAAATGATCTTGTAGGTTTTGATCTTCATTAATTGAAGAAAAGATGATTTTGAAAAATTTTCTTTCAAAAGATTTGAGTTGTATAATTTTGGTGAGAAAATCTAGAATTTGAGAATTTTTTTTAGAGACTGAAAATCCATGAATGATATTGTTATATTTATTTTGTATGTCAAAATAAATGGATGTTTGAAAAATCTCTTATTTATATTTATATAAATGATGAATTTCAGGAAATATGAGAATTATTGTTCATTTTGAAAATTATTGTTCAAAACATTGAAATAGTCTTGAAATGACTAATTGTTGAGGATACTTGAGAAGAGAGAATTGTGTTATTTCTTAGATGATGAATTGGAATAACAATATTTATATTCATCTTGTGTTATTGGCATATCAATTCATTTGATTACATTAAATTTTGAAAGTTGATTTAAAAACTTACATTGAGAAAAGAATGTTGAGAAACAAGTTTTCATGAAATAATTTTGGGATAAATACGTTGGTAAGTCTTGATAGGTGGTGTAGATGATATTGAATAAGTTGGCCTGAGAGTCCGGGGTGAAAGACCGAAAACCCACGCGAATAGGTGTCGAGCCTTCCGGTTAATACCAGTAAAAATGACAATTTGGTAGTACTTGTATAGTCTACTTGCAGACACCGACCTAAGGATTACCAGAGTCGTATTTACTGCCCTTGAAATAAATTGTTAAGTTTTGAACAATTGAAATTGCATGACATCATTGAGCATGATGCTTTTCAAAAGATAAAAATGTGATTTATTTTCAAAAGAGGCATAGCATGGCATGTGCATTTCACCTCTTGAAACTTGTATAAAATGTATATACTTTGTTAAGGATTTCCTATTAGGCTTTATGCTCACCCTACGGGATTTTGTGCAAGAAAAGATGTGGTAATGGCGCTTAACTAAAGGCGAGGAAATGTGTGTTGAGAGTACGAGACTCTCATTTTGCTGTGACTCTGTGTGTAAGCCAAGGACTGTATGTGTGTGGATTTGAATAACCGTTTTGTGTAACCAGACTCAAGCCTTAAAAGCTTGTAAACCCTTGGGGGTGGTTATTTGTTTATTTACTTGTTGTTGGATTAATGTATTGTTACATGAAGAACTATTGTATCATATAATGTAAGTTTGGAGATTTATATTCGGTTTTCCTTGAAAGAGTCATGATTGTTGTATTATCATTTGGGCTATAAATTTGGAGCGTTACAGGAGAGGTAGTAGCTAGACAGCCTTCCCTCCAGTTTGTGTATGATGGTGTCTAGGATGACTGGTATTGAGGTGATCTAGGAAGATGGTAGGCACTTAGCTGTTAAAAAACCACTGGAGGGGGAGGAAGAGGGAGCCAAAGGCAGCCTTAAGAGAGAGAAAAGATGACAGGTGAGAGCTTTGTGCTTATGCTGGACAAAGGAGTGTCATCTTGTGTCTTCCATGCATGGGAAGGATCCCTTCTATAGAGAAGTTTTGCTGTTGACGTCAACTAAAGGGAACAGGTGGCTTAATTCCCTTGATGCGACAACCAAGGATCTCCTAACCTGATAACTTTGTCTTGATTGAGATCTCCTGTCCAGGGATCTTTTGTCCTATGATTTCCCAATTTGGGGATCTTTTTCTCTTGGCCTTCTTTAGCCGACAACATACGGAGGTTCCTTACACTTGCATGTCAAGGAATCTTAGAGGTATCAAATGTATCAGAGTATTCGATAGCTTGGTCAATCAGCACTTATCTCTTACTAAGGTTGGTTAAGGGGGACCACCTCAAACAGGTCAGTCAAGCACCCTTGACAATCCATTGACTCTAGCCACCACCAAGCCACAATCCTCAGATGATCTCTTGCAGATATCCTATGCCTTAATCCCAACCTAAGTAACTTGTTTCAAGCCTAAGTGTTGGGTAAATGGAAGATCACAAGGTGCGATTGATCTCACTTTTCAACAATCTTGGAGAAGTTAGGGAGAGAACCAATTTAGAGATCAACTTATGGAAGTTGCAGAGGGAGATCTTGGTCGAGCCAAGTGAGACGATCTCTTCCAACCTCAAGAATTTTGGACATTAGAAAAAGATGTGGGTACATTTGAAAATATGTTATTGACCCATGTGCCACCGTGTGAGGCTGACACATGACATCATATCACTAGGATGCCAATGTGATGCGGCAATCCACATAGGAGGAGTAAATGCGCACCCAGTGTTTTAAAAAGCCCTAGGCGCATCGAGGCGCCAAGGTCACCTGGAGCTTGAGCGCCGAGGCGCGAGGCGAGGCGCACCTCACCAAAGCGAGGCGCAAGTTATAAAAGTTAAGTAAAATATTAATATAACACAATTTTCAACATAAAAAGCATTTAATATGTATATTATTAATTTTTTTAATAAGAAGAGAAGAGAAGAAAAAAAATAATTAATTTTTTTAATATATATATTATTTTATTTATTTATTATATTTTTTACATAATGTGTTTTAATTAATTTATTTTATTTTATTTTACATACATGTGTTTATTTTTTTTATTACTATAAATAAGTATATATTATATTTTATATATTATATAAGTATATTATATATTATATAATAGATATTATAGGTATTATATAATATTATATATATATATATATATGAATCAATTATATATTATATATTATATATAAGTATATTATATATTATATAATAGGTATCACTTTTTGCTCTCTTTTGATCATATTTGATCATTTTATATTGAAAAGTTTTGAATCCCTATAGGCATGCCCACAAAAAAAGCACTTCTTTTTTTTTCCAAAAAAAAAATAAAAATAAAAAATAAGGTAAAGCCCATGAAGCCCGCGCCTCGAAAAAAAGCCCTCGCCTTAGCGCCTAAGTTGCGCCTCGCCTCGACCTGTTCGAGGCGCAAGGCTGCGCCTCATTGTGCCTCGAGCTTAGGCGCGCGCCTAAGCGCGCTTTTTAAAACACTGTGTGCACCTATGCACTTTTTTGTTGAGAGGCTAATTTCCATGACTCAAACAAACCCACCCTACTTGAGTGGGACACGAGACTTTGGTTTGGTTTGGTTTAACATGGAAATAATTCTAATCATAAGAAAACATTTTTCCTTTTACATCAAGTAAATTAATTTGTTAAAAAGGGGGGTGTACATCATGATTCATGACAACTCCGCATTAACCTTTTCACCAACAGATGCAACAAAAAATATAACCTACCTAGGCGCATCCATAGACAAGCCACCTACCTAACAGGCTTCTCAACAAATAATACCATACCATCTGATTCTGGATTGAATCAGCGCCATGCATAGTTTGACGTTGAAATCCACCATTGCTCAAGAGTAGATTCACTCATTGATTTCTTCATCCAAGTTATGACCATACTACAAACTAGGTGTATGTACTGATTGTTAGTCAACTACTTTCCCACTCTATTCATTTTATTAATATTATTATTTCAAGTTTTAAACTCTTTTTCATGTTTGACCACATTTTGTTGACATAAATGTTGTTTAGAGAGCAACTCTTATTTTTTTATTAATAACCAAACCAAACCAAGCCTTAAGTCCCGTCAAATGGGGTTAACTACATGAATCCTTCTTCTCCATGCAGCCCTATCAAAAGCCATTTCATTAGTCAAATTAAGTAGATTCATATCTCTATTTACAACGCTAGTCAACGTCAATTTAGGCTTACCCCGTCCCTTAACACTTCCATCTACCGTTACCACATCGCATCTCTTCACTACTGTCTCTGTTGGTCTCCGTTGAACATGACCAAACCATCTCCATCGATTCTCTCTCAACTTATCTTCTATCGGTGCTACTCCTACTCATTCTTGAATACACGCATTCCTAACTCTGTCTTGTCTAATCTTACCACACATCCACCTTAGCATCCTCATCTCAGCCACACTCATCTTATCTATATATTATTTCTTGGTTGCCCAACACTCCGTCCCATACAACATTGCTGGTCTAATAGCCGTTCTATAGAACTTACCTTTTAGTCTAATGGGTATTCGTTTATCGCACAATACCCCAGACGTACTTCTCCACTTACACCATCCTGCCTCAATCTTATGGGCCACATCTGCATCAATCTCCCCCGTTGTTATTCTTTTATTAATATCCTGGAAAAATCATTTATTTATTTTGGCAGCCTGGTTTCTTAGAACATGATTTGTTGTGTATGCTTGACTCATCCTCCACTCTTTACGGTTATATTAATGTCACTTGTCAAAAAGAAAGAAGAAAGAAAAAAAGAGTTTGACAGTAATACATAAAAAATTAATAATAATAATTCCCCAAAATATTTATTTCTAACATACCAAAAGAGGCCAAACAAATAAAAATGAGAGCAAAAGGAAACAAAAGAAAAGAGAGAAAATGGAGAAGATAACACATACCAGCATGAAAGCGAGAAATGGTTTGGTGCTCGAGGACAAAATCACAGAGGTCTACGCGCCCAAACATGTAAGCCCCCTTCTCATGTCTAGACAATAAACAAATCAAATTGCATTTCAATACAACAAAAATATAAAGAACAACAACAGTTTCTCAAGAGATAAGCTAGCCATTCAAAATGTAATGTTGAATTCAAATGCAAATTGCAATTTTCAATTCACAACTTGATAATTATACAACTCAAATTTTTATTTAATGCACCATTTTATAACCGAATTACAACAACTAGTAAAGTTTACTATTTTTTCAAGTCAAGAGACAGGAATTCTACCCAATAACCAGCATCTACTTTTCTTAAAGGGGGCATATATGCAACAAGTCGCAAAAAATAAATAAATGGGAAAAATCACTTTGCACCCCTATGGTTTACATAAAATTCAATTGTGTCTTCACTTTTTAATAGTCTTAGTCAGTCCCACAAATCGATTGAAGTTTCAATTGGGTCTATTTGTCCCTTTTATCAATATTTCACTTTACTTGCTCTAATTTAGCCCTTAGCTTAGGGCCATTATAATTTTATCAAAACCTCACTTTAATCCCTCTACTTTGGAAACCTCCTTGTACAACTGGGTCCAATTGTAACTTTAACTCCAAGTTCAGGGAGTGAAATTGAAATTGTATGCAAAGATTAATTTGGCCTAAATAAATAAACGCCAAAAGCACATTGAACTTGAACAGACGAGACTTACACATCGAGTTGATCAATGATGGAGCCTTCTTTGAGGACTTCCAAGAAAAATTTGTGGCGAGGAGGTCCGCTCCACTCAGGAATCGTATAAGGAACTGCAATATTTGGGCGTTGTTGGTCCTGTTTAACATCGACACTCTGATTGGGTGTGGTGTTTTCGGCTTGCAGTGGTTCGTCTTTGGGAGGGATTGGTAGGGAATCCTGATGGCCGTTGGATTGGGATTGAACGGAGTCGGATTGACCCATCGCTGGTGCAGAGGAGGTTGAAGGTTCGTCTAGGGTTTTGGTTAGGGGTTCTGTTGAAAGGGCTTCTTCAGAGGTGGAGGTGGTGGTGGCGATAGGGTTTTTGGGAGGCGGAGGACCCATGTCAGTCGTCATTCTGGAAGCAACAGATTCAATCGAATATTTTCTGCAAATTGTAAAAAAACTGCATGCTGCACCATGGACCAGTTTGTTTAAAAGGATGGAAAGTCCACTAATCCCATGTTTTAAAATTATTAAACACCATATGAGATCCGTTTGAGAAGTTGGTTTTTTTTTATTATTATTTAAAATAGTCATAAAAAATAAAATAAATTTTTTAACTTAATAAGAAAAAATATCACATCTAATTTATAATTATTACATTTTATAAATGTAAAAAAGTTTAAAAAGTCAAAAAAAAAATTAAAAAGTCAAAAAGTCAACTCACTTCCCAAACGGAGCTATGGTATATAAGTAAAATTACATTATCTCCCTCCAGGCACCATCCAACTGTCTGAATTAATCACTGTCCCTTATATTTCATTCCACCTTAAATACGGTAGTGTTATCTACACTAATTAATGTACTAACTAATATATCAACACTAATTACATTATAAATACTAAAAAATTTCTTAAATTATGTCATATCATCAATTAGTACATTAATTAATACATATAACACTATTCCCTTAAATATACATAGACATAAATCAAAAATGACTCGTAGCTCGAATGTTTCGGGCTCGAATGGCTCGATCTCTCTCTTCTCTTAGCAGTCACTCTCGCCTCTCTCACTTTCAACAAACCTCTCTCTCACTTTCACCTCATCCCTCTCTCCTCTCTACCTCTTCACTCTCGCCTCTCTCACCTGTCTCTTGAAGGAGTTCGAACCACGACGAAGGACGGAGAGGACGAAAATGATGATGATGTTCCAGCAGCCAGATTTTTTATTTTTTTTTGTTGATGTTGATCTGAATTGAAGATGAAGGGAAAAAAAAATTGTGGATGAAGATGTTGATGATCAGGATCTGCAGAACCAATTTTTTTTCTGGATTTTTTGATCTAGATTTTTGATCAAATTTTTGTTCTAATCAAAAATTTTTTATCTGGATTTTTTGATACAGTTATGCATATCCTTGATCTGGATTTTAAACAACGAGATGAAGAAGAAAAAAATTTGATCAACAGTTACAATGCAAAAATTTGATCAACTGCCCAAAAAATTTAATTCTGATGTAATTTTTTTTACATTCAGAATTGGTGATGATGGTGATGGTGATGCCCAAAAAATTGGTGATGGTGATGATGAACTGCCCATAATTTTCATTCTCTGGAAAATTATTTTTTGGGAAGAGAATGATCTGATTTGTAAAAAAATTTGAGAGAGAGAGAGATTGACATTTTGCAGAAATCAGAATGATATGGCTCGATTGACCCAGCACCATCACCAATTTTTTTTATAGAATTCTTCATCACCATCACTGATTTTACAGAAGAAGAAAAAAAATGGTGATGATTGACCTAGCAGACTTCTTCTTCTTCTTCTTCTTTTTCTTCTTCAGAAAAATGCAAAGAAAAAAAAAAAAAAAAAAAAAAAATCAAAAAAGAAAGAGAGAGGAAGAAAAAGACACCAAAACGACGTCGTTTTGGTGTCGAGCCACAGAGTTACGAATCGAAACTGGACATTTTCCAAATTCCAATTAACCTGTTTATATATATAACAACAATGATTCATCCCCCTTTTTTCCCCACCCCCTTTGACCCCCTCTCTCTCATTGGTTACATTTTCTTTTTCTTTTTCTTTTTTTTCCTACTCCTCCAATCACCACCCGCCACGTGGCAAAGGGAGGTGAGGGGTGACCCCGAAAAGGGGGTCCCAAGCATTATTCTATATATAATATCATCCATTAAACTATGTTATTACTTTTTTGGAATTTGGTCAAAACCCCCCTCCTAATAAAACTTTAATCCATTAAAGACAATTACAAAAAAAAATTCCTTAAAAAATTCAACAAATATCATTATTATCAAAATATTAAATTTTGAAATAATATAACTCTTGTGTAGATGTCGGTTTTAATAAAATTAATCATTGTGTTCGATTTCATTTTTCTGAATTTAGTTTTCTGAAAATTGAATTTTTTTTGTTTTTCGTGATTTTTTGTTTGTAGGGAATATTTTTTAAATTTTAATTTTTTTTTTACTTTTTTAGATGCATCTTACTTAAATGTATCTAAATGATAAAATATTTGTGAAAAAATATTTTAAAAAATTAATAAATACACAAAAATATTTATAAAAAAAATTACTGAATTTTAGTTTTTTTTTTTGTATTTTTTGATATTTAGTGTATTTTTTAAATATTATTTTTACAAATATTATACTTTTTAAATGTATTGTTGTTAAATTTGTCTTAAAAAAAATTAAAAAAAACGCTTTGAATATTAAAAAAATTAATTGAAAACATTAAAATATGAAAAATAAAAAAGTGAAATTTTCTTAAAACTGTTTTCTGAAAACCAAAACCAAACAAGCTGAATATTTTTAGAATTCTCTCATCAAGATCTATCAAATGAAATCCATGTTGACTATGAAATTCTTAAAGTAAAAAGAAAAAATTATTACCGTTGAAATTTGTGTAAACAATAACATGTTACTCTATTTGATAATAATATTTTACTTTGTCTCACAGTAACATGTTATTCTGGTAATATTATCCAAGAAAGAAAAAAAATATTTTTTACTTTATCCTTCCTCAATTAGGTGTTTTATTCTTAGTAAACGTATAAAAAAAAAAATTAAGTTGCTCGCTGTTTGGGAACTTGGTTTTGGAATTTTTTTTTTTTTTACACTACAAGACAAATATTTTACAAAACTAAAAAAATAAATTCAAACGAAATATCACATCAAACCCCATAAATCATTTCATTTTTTCTCTCACAAAAATCACATTCAACAACAAAAAAACCCAACTATCTTTCCAAACACAAAAAAAAATTTCTCAAATAATATTCTACAACTAAAAAAACCTACTTCCTAAACACCCACTAAATTTCCTTACTTTTTTTTAAACATAGAAAACGTGTGTTATATATATCAAACATGCCTGGTAAGAAATAAAATTACCAACCAAAAAAATAGAAGAAAGGATTAAATATTGTGATGTCTTAGTAATCATTTGTACATTTCTAGTGATCCCAAACAAGCACACTAACCAAAGGAAGATATCGATTGGTTTTTCATCATCGTTTTCAAATTAACATTTCTTGACAAAAACAAAATTTTCATGCAACACACACTGCTAAAAATTGGACTTTTTTGCGACGGATTCAAACGTCGTAAAAGGTCCATATATCGTCGCAAAAAGTCTTTTGCGATAGAACAGGGACGGAAAATGGAGGGTGGCGGAAGGAGGCATGACAAAAAGTATTTGCGACAGTTACAAACCATTGCATTCTTGTAGCGACGGCTAATTAATAATTTTTGCGACGGCTTAACCTAACACAAAAAAGGGAAAAAAAACTTCATTATTAGTGACGATGTTGGTTGCCGTCGCCAAAACTTTTTTAGCGACGGTATTCGATGTCGCAAAAACAGGGCCGGCCCTGAGTTCGTCGGGGCCTAAGGCGAATTTCAGAAATGGGGGCCCTTTTATATTGATGAATAAAATGATAAGTTACAATTTTTTTATTTATTTGTAACCATAAAAAAATTTACTTACACATATAATCATTAAAATTATAAACAATTTAATAAAACAAAATTAGAACAAAGAAATTAGGAAAAAATTATTCAATTAAAATTGATAAAGACATAGGTAAAAAAATTTGAGCAAAATTATTTATTCCACTAAAATCTAATAGATAAAGAAGGTAAAAATAAAAAATAAAAAATAGAGCCCATATATTGTATGTATTATTTTTCTTGAGCCCAAACACTTTTTTTTTAATATATATTTTCATTTTAATAAATATGGACCAAACTACACTTATAAATAAATATGGAGTAAATCATACATGGACCCAAAAAAATATTTTGGGACCCTTTAAATTGATCCTAAAACCAAAAAAACAACAACATTGAGCCTATAATATTTTACCAAATTTAGGGGCTCTATTTTTGGGCCAAATTTGGAGGCCTTATGTTATATATGTTTTTATGTTTTACCAAATTTAAGGGCCCTATTGTTATTTATTTATATATTTTCATTTTAATAAATATGGGCCAAACACATTTATAAATAAATATGGGCTAAATTATACATGGGCCCAAATGGGCCCAATAAAATATTTGGGGCCCTTTAAATTGATCTTAAAACCAAAAAAAAAAAAAAAAATTTAAACCTAAAAAAATTTTTTAAATTTGGGGGCCCTATTTTTGGGCCAAAATATGGGGCCTAAGGCACAAGCCTTACCTGCCTTAGGGCAGGGCCGGCCCTGCGCAAAAACTATTATTAGCGACAGTCTAAAAGTCGCAAAAAGTAAAATTAAATTAATACCATATTTGCAACTGTTTAAACCGTCGCTAAAGATTTGAACTAATATGTATATGTTACAGGTTAACCCGTCGCTAATAAAATATAAAGAAATGATGATTACATTAGCAACGGTTATTATTGTTGCAATAAAATTATTTTTATAAAATCAATGTATATTTTATTAATTTATTCCCTGTACAAATTATTAATATTTTGAAAAATAAAATACATCTACATTCACATTCACGTTCACAAAATCATACGTATATATGTACCCTACAACAATTATCAACCAAATATTATTTACTAAAATATATAAAACATTCTCCAACAATACTAATAATTTTTTATATTCAAGAACTTAAATTTTTGTATATAAAGCAAAACAAAAGTATTGACCATGCAAATACAAAAACATATATATTATGGTTTGTTTTAATATCAACAGTAAGCTCTAATATCGATATGCGAATATATCATCACGTATTCAAAAAGGGTTGCATATGTAAAAAGAAACACAAAAAAAAAAATCATTTACAATATAATTAATTTCAAGCTTACAAAAAATGTAAAAATATTTAATATTTATTTCAAAAAATAAATAAATACAAAAAAGATTGTAAGCTGCAATATCAGCATGCGAAGATATCATCACGTATTCAAAGGGTTGCATCTGCAAAAAGAAACCAACAAAACAAAAAAAATCATTTACAATATAATTAATTTCAAGCTTACAGAAAATATAAAACACTGGACATTTATTTCAATAAATAAATAAATACATAAATAAGATTGTAAGCTCCAATATTTTCTCCTATAAGTCACTTGTGTCTAGTATGTTGTATTTGTCAAGTTTTGTTGACATCTAAGCTCGTTTGAGCATTTTAGTGTGTCAACCGGTTCGAAAAAAAGTTTGTAAGGAATAAATTTTCATAAATAGAAATTAGGCTCTAGATTCAAAACTGGAAATGGGTTTCAAGTCCTGTCTTCACCTACAAGTCACGTGCGTCTAGTATGTTGTGTGTGTCAAATTTCGTTGACATCCGAGCCCGTTTGAGTATTTTAGTGTGTCAACCAGTTTGAAAAAGAGTCTATTAGGAATAAGTTTTTATAAACGGAAATTAGACTCTAAATTAAAAACAAGGAATCAGTTTCGAGTCTTGTCTTCTCCTACAAGTCGCTTGTGCCTAGTTAGTCGTGTGTCAAGTTTCATTGACATCCGATACCGTTTGAGCATTTTAGTGTGTCAATCAGATCGAAAAAGTTTTTGTAAAGAACAAGTTTTCATAAAACGGAGAATTAAGCTTTAGATTCAAAATCGGAAATCGGTTTCGAATCCCGTTTTCTCCTACAAGTCACATGTGCCTTGTAAGCAAGTTACACTAAATATTCTACCACAAATTCCCAAAATATACATATATATATATAATTATAAGAAGCCCTAAAAAACAAACACTAAACCGGACCTTAATGAGGATTTCAAAAACTTGGCATGAGTGGGTAAGTCACACAGATATCGGGACAAGCCTCATTACCTAGGCTCAAGTAAGCACTTTCACAACAATCCTGTGAACATATTCATCTTACTAGTGATTTAGAAGGTGATATAATAAATAATAAAAATACATACAATTACCAACCTTTCAGAGGCATAGGAAGTGGCAAAGTAGCTCCTTGGCAAAGACTGTCAATACTAAAAATCGAAGTTTTTGCGACGGTCTTAAACGTTGCAAAAGGTTCACATATCATCGCAAAAAGACTTTTTGCAACGGAGTGGCGACGAAAAATGGGAGGTGGCAGAAGGGGACATGACAAAAAGTATTTGCGATAGTTACAAACCGTCGCTTCTTTATAGCGACGGCTAATCCATGAATTTTGCGACGGTTTAACCTGACACAAAAAAAAGGAAAAAAAACATCACTTTTAGTGACGATGTTGGTACCGTCGCCAAAACTTTTTTAGCAACGGTGTTTGACATCGCAAAAAATATTATTAACGACGGTCTAAAACGTAAAACGTCGCAAAAAAAGTATAATTAAATTAATATTATATTTACGACAGTTTAAACCGTTACAAAAAAGTATCATTAACAACGGTTTAAAACATCGCAAAAAGTAGAATTAAATTAATATCATATTTGTGACAATTTAAACTGTCGCAAAAGATTTGAACTACGATATATACGCGACAGATTAACCCGTTGCTAATAAAATGTAAGGAAATATTGATTACATTAACAACGATTTATTATTGTCACAATAAAATTATTTTTATAAAATCAATATATATTTTATTAATTCATTTCCTATACAAATTATTAATATTTTTTAAAATAAAATACATCCGCATCCACATCCGCATCCATACATATCCACATTCACAAAATCATACATATATATGTATCTTGTAACAATTAGCAACCAAATATTCTTTACAAAGGATACATGAAAGTCAATGGGCAGGAAATCTACCTAAGGAGAATTGTCAATTATAGCAATTTTTGCAAGATCAACACCCAAAATTGTTAAGTCCACGGTGTAACTTACATCTGAAAAAATGCATGAGTCACAATAAGTTCGATGAGAGATAAGTGTTTTCTATCTGGATCCAGTATATCCAGTAGCTGTTTTGCATAGATGCTTTGACTGGCTGTGAACACCACAATTTCAAACATCTCAGCAACCCTCTCTAGGAACATTTGAAGGCAAGGCCTCTGTTTTACAGACTCTGTGCTCTTTCATGTTGAAAAAGACTGGAAAGCTAAAATCTGCATCTTCACAATGTTCCAACGTAGAGTGGACAAGTGTTTCTGCACAAATGAAAGCTAGTGTGACCAACCTTTGGAAGCATGAACTTATGTAAAAATTCTTTAAAATGATTCGTAGAAATACAAGTAGACCCGAAGTTGAAAGTTCACTATAGGTGTGGATCATAAATATTATATTGACATAACCGAGAAATAAACTAGATAAGATAAAATGAAATAATATGAAGATTAATAGCAAACAGATCAAAGGAGTTCAATTTTCTTACCATCCAAATCCAGTACTAGGGTAATGGACTTCATTTTCTGTGTTTCATTTAGCAATGTAGTGGGGTGAAAATTTGGCGCCACATCTGGTGGGTCAGGTAGATTTCTGATAAACATGTGTGGATCAAAGCACCCTAATTGATCTGAATCTGAGTAGGGATTCACATCAGGTTCCTCATTGCAGGATCTCAACTGATGGATTGCAAGATACAAGCTTGAATCATCTGAATCTATAATGGCGTCCTCACATGTTCTGCCATCATGATTGCCACCTGCCTCCATGGTATCCTCAAGGAAAGGCAGTATCATGTATTCCTCAGCCACGTCAAAAAACGTACTTGGCTCATCACATTTGTAATCAAGCAAGCAACTAGCTTCTGTGATGTCATCATAAATTGAGTTGCCTTCAATGGGTAAGCCTGCAGCAATCATGTCAGAAATGTAGAAATCTGAGACATTGCAAGTTTGATATTCACTAGAGCTTCTGCTGTTATCATCACTGTCATCAGCTCCCAAAAGCGGACCAGTTCAAAACTGAACGTGAATCTTCTGCTTTGCGCTGTCATATGCAGAAGATGGTTTATATTTCCAAAGCTAAGACATGTGCTTGAAATATTTTATAAAAACATAATCCAATAAGAAAAATCTATGTTGTTTGACATTCTTTACAAACATATGCAAAGATTTATACTCCTATCTCCAACAAAGAACTCTTCATGGATCAAGCAAAATTTCATCATTATTCATTCAAGTGACACATTAAATAAGTTGGGAATGTAAGTGATAAAGAATTAAACTGGTGTGCAGGCAACAAATGAAATGAGTTTGAATGCAATGCAAGCATTGGGGGTCTAGTAATTGCTTTTTGGTGATCTTCCGAAACAAAATGTGTTGCTTCTTTGTTCTGCTCATCTTACAATTTTCGCACTAGTCAAGGATGATGTAATTTTTTAAATATGTGAACCCAATCTCTTCAAAGTGCCTTTTAGTGAAGGAAATTTTGAGTTATGGGGAGCTTTAGCTGATCAATATTGTGTTCAAAACCAAAAGAAAGAAACAGATAAATTATGTTAGATACATACAGACCATTTTCTGGAAACATGAAGCAGTGACTTCCAGCATTTTCATTTCCACCTTTTTTAGGAGGAATGAAGCAACACTCAAAACAAAATTTTTCAAAAAACTTCATCTTCATGTCAAAAAGTACACATGCTCTAGCAACAAATCTCTAATTTAAGATAAAAAAAAATAATTCCCAAGATACCAAAAACAGAAAAATTCTAAACTGTACCTGCATCATTGTTGATCTCTGGTTCACCGTGAACTTCATTTGACTCCAAAGTTGGTGAAAAAAATTGTCTCCAAGTTTGATGCACAGGTTGGTGGTGTAGAATCCTGCAATCAACCATCATTTGTCATACATAACTATGATAACGTTCTAGGAATACCTTGTCAGACTTTTGAAAGATGGGGAACAGTTCGAGTAGCAAAAACAAGAAATAAACCGCTGAGTATGTTTCAATCTAATTATCAGGAAACCAATTTCGCAATCTACATAGGCCCATCTGGCCACCAAAGTTCATATTCTGCAAAACTCTCCAACTTCAGTTGATAGAAGGAAATAATGACTCCAACGGAATCCATGAGAAAACTAAGAAAATAAGAGAATGGCTCTCAATATGCGAATCTGACTAAAGAAAGAAAAGAGATTGGTGACAGTATGGAAAGACATTAGAACATTGAAAGCCTCAGTAAGAAGAGGCTATTAATTGACATGTATGTTCAAAATCTCAATTTCAAAAGCTAAATTTAAAAAAAAGAAAAAAGAAAAAACACACACACACTTATTTTACAATTGGCACATTGTTACCATTTGAAGGAGTTCTTAGCATTCAATCAACTCCTATCATGTTAGCACTTCCCTCTAAAACCACTAAAATTCTTCGATATCATGTTTGACTTCTGGCATACATGGAGACCATTTTTTTCTCTTAAACACCCCACAGTTGACTTGGTCTTCATTTTTAATGATGGCATTTGATCTGTCCTTGTTATATGTAGCACAATCTTCAATTGAGTACATCAGTGGGGAAACAAAACCCCTCTAAACAATCAATACAGCAGCAAAAGACTGTCATGAAAACAACTGGGATAAGAAATTAATACTGGACACAGCAATACATGTAGAGCAACTACTACAGAATATAATAAGAGACACATGAATCAGAAAGACAGGCAATGTAAATTGAATAGTGATAGTATATATGCATCGATGGGAATGAAAAATGTTTTAGAGCAACCACGATTCATTTAAAGAAAACTAAGATGTAGGTCAACAACCCACCACATACAGTATTTATATAAGTGAAATAACATAGAAGCAGATTGAGCATTGACAGTTTGACTCAGCTACAAACGCTATCATGGTAAACTGTGTAATGTACCTTACGACTACAAGGACCCATACTTCAATTCATTAAACATTTTGTGGTTCTAAGAAAAAAAGTCCTTCTTCTTACAAATAACTATCATAGCACCCCTTGATTCAATACTCATATTCTAGTCAGTTCATAATAGTTAAAAAGTCGCACAATCTGGCTGTTATTCATAAAACAAAAGGCCATATTCTTTGTTGAAATTGCTCAATCTAGTAC